TTAACCAAAATATTTTATCGTTTTTTTACCACTAGTTAATTTTGCCGTTGAAATACTATTCTAAATCTATGAGGCATATACTGAATTATCACATTTTCTTCTTATTATCATCCCCCGCCGAAAAGGCAGCAGGGGATGTAGAAAAAGTCTCCGTCCGTCCGTCCGTCTGACATTCCGTCCGTCCTTTCGTCCGACATTTATGTCCGGAGCATATCTCAAAAGGTATTTGAGGTATCAACTTGAAACTTCATAGGTGGATAGACTTCTTTGAGGAGGAGTGCAGTGCACAAGAGTGATAACTCTACGCTGCATACATTTTAAGTTATTGCCCTTTGTTATTTTTCAAAATTAATTTTTGTCCAGAGCATAACTCAAAAAGCCTTTGAGATATCAACATGAAACTTCATTATTAGGTGCATACATCTCACTCAGGAGGTGTGCAGTGCACAAAAAAGATAACTCTACCTTTCATAATTTTTGAGGTATTGTCCTTTGTTATTTTCCATTCTTAATTTTTCACCTGAAAGGAACATAACACAAAAAGTGTCAACATGACATGTCATAGGTGGATAGATCTTATTGAGGTGGAATGATGTGCACAAGAATGATAACTCTTCCCTATACAATTTTTTAGTTATTCCCCTTTGTTTTCATACTATTTTGTCCGGAGCTTTTCTCAAAAAAGTATTAGAGGTATCAACTTAAAACTTCATAGGTTGACGGATCTCATTAAGGAGGAGTGCAGTGCACAAGAATGATAACTCTACCTTCATAATTTTTGAAGTATTGCCCTTTGTTATTTTTCAAAATTAATTTCTGTCCAGAGCATAACTCAAAAGGTCTTTATAAAAATATAAACATGAAACTTTATAGGTGCATAGATCTCATTCAGGAGGTGTGCAGTGCACAAGAATGATAACTCTATCTTTCATAATTTTTGAGTTATTGCCCTTTGTTCTTTTTCATACTTTTTTGTCCGGAGCTTATCTCAAAAAGTATTTGAGGTATCAACTTGAAACTTCATAGGTGGATAGATTTTACTGAGGAGGGGGCAGCACATAAGAATGATTTCTCTACCCTTTATTATTTTTCAGTTATTGCCCCTTATTATTTTCAGCCATCAGTAGTCACATAGGTTTCAAATCTGTAATTACTTCAGCCATAAGTTCATTACCAAAAGACCTCTTAAAATTGAATTATTCTGCTCTACTACATATTCTTCCAATGAGCAAACACATTCGGCGGGGGTGGTCATGTTGACATGGCTCTTGTTGTTAAAATAATTATTTGCTATAATGTTTGATTGGTCCAATTAATGTCTTCCAATATCACGCGCCTCGTGCCTATGTTGATAATGTTGATTGGTATTGTGTATGAAATATACATTGTCAAACTCTAAAGCTAACAGTTAAATACTAAAAATTTCATCATCCGGGAATCAATAATCGGACGACTCTTTCTCTTGCGTTTACATGTACTTGTTTTTCATAATGCACATCCTGTGTTGTTAAATTACTTTTGACGTGCAGATACATAAGTGTTCTACATTCAAAATTTATGAAAAAGTAATACGTTTTTTATTTCTTTTCTCATTTTTTCTTTTTCGTTTTTGTTTTTGTTTTTGGTCTTCCATACTTAATATAAAATCACTACACTATAGTGATAGCCAAATTGCTAAAACGCAAAATAGCAAATAAAAGATTAAGTGTTTTTGCCAATGATTATCAATAAGTAAACTATATCAGGACAACTTTTAAAAATGAAAATATTGGAAATTTTAGACTTAACTTGCATTTAATTCTATCATATTAACAGATATACATACTGGTTTTAAACACTAGACTTTTTATCCATTATTTTCATTGGCCATAGTAATAAAAAAGTGAAAACAAAAAACAAATTATAAAAACAATATAAGAAATAAAAAATAAATAAATGAAATAAATATATAAAATAAAATAAAGTGAAATAAATAAATAGTTAAATAAATAAATAAATAAATAAATAATACTTAAATTAATAAATAAATAAAGTCACAAATTAACATTATTTAATGTCAATGAGGAAATATTAAATTGGCAAGTTGATAGAATAAATCAGATAATTCGGCATATAAGTGATATATTCACGAATCCTTTGACATCATAACACCGCTTTCATTTTTTTCTTCAAATAAACCTTATAATACGAACAACAGTTATATAATTTAATTCAAGATTTCGTTTCAAGAAGGCATTTAACCGTCCAGGTTATTAAATTGGGAAATTTGAGTTTAAAATTTTAACCAAGAAAACAGCATTAAAATTTAAAGGTTTTAATTTTCAAAAAAAAATTTTTTACCCTAACACCCCTTTTCCCTTCTTTGCCAAAACAATTTTAAACCCAAAATTTCCCCAAGGCATTTAAAACCGTCTAGGGTTTTACAAAATTAACCAAAAAAATGTAAAAAAAGGCCCAACGGCCATGGACTGGCCAAATCTTCCCCAAAAATTTTTTTTTATGCCCATATTTGCTATTTCTTTTTGTTTTTTAAACAGACCCATTTTAGTTACTTCCCAAAATTTTCAGACTAAAACCTTTTATATAAAAATTGTGTTTTTAACGGAAAATACTCTCCCCGCGCATCCCGGTCGAATGTTTCAAAAATCGCTTTACTGTCTTAAGTAACGGGGAGGGTTTTTCCAAAACCCCAAAGGGAAAGGGGAAAACGGAAAGATGTTGCACTTTTCAGTTTCAACCGTGCGGTTTTCACTTTTATTCGTTTTATGGCTACTTCCTTTCTTCAGAAAATAAACATCATACTTCTTGTTGTACTGTCGTACACCATCCTGCATGTTTAATCACATATACACATATATTGTGTTAATTTAAGTAAAGTATTGAATTTTACTTCCGTTTGTACTTAAACCGTTACTTCAATCACTATTGAAGCGTTATTTTGAAATCAAGCAAATAATGCACACATATTGAATCATTTGACAGGAAACAAAACTAATATTAAATTTATTGTTCAAGTTTCAAGTTAAATCGTTTGAAGATGAATTTCAAAGGAAACAAATTATCTGCACAATCTTTCAAATATACTTTGTGCAAACATTCTGATCAGTTTAATCAAAATTACAGTTTGGTAATATATTGTATCGAATACTACCTTGAAAATGCTAATACATAGCTTTTTTTCTTGCCTGGTCAATATTATAATATCAGACAATCGTTTGATATTCTATTTAGTATGTGTTCAAATATGCGCTTATTTCTTTAAATTTCAAATGAAACAAAAATACTGTCAAGAACCTGTCCAGTTCATTCAACGCTCAGTAATATACCAAAGGTCATATCTTTTAGAAAAATTCCCAAATGTTTTTTTTTTTTTTTTTGTCAAATGTAAGACAGACTTCAAAATCCAAAAATATATTCGATTTAAAGTTAATCAATTTAATATTTTCACCTATTTGGAGATAAAATATTACATTTTCTTCATTTTTATTTCAATATATATTGATGAACTGTCTGATAAAAACTGAGGGTGACTCATAAAGCTAAATTTATCAGGCATAAACTTTTAATTTAATGATATTGGTAAAGTAATATCTTTAATGTACTAGTAAACTCAAAACTGATTGCAGGAGTATGGCATAACATTATTCGACGGTCTCTAATTATATTTGTTTCTTTTTCTTTCGAAATTTTGTTTTAAAGAGGTAAAAAGTTCATCCCAAAATTTTCAATATATATATATTTCTGGATAACAACAAAAGATAACAGTTTTGTTTTTAATAAAAACTTTTGCAAACATTTCAATGAAAATCACCTGTAGTAAAAATAACACTTTTATACATTTTCAAAAAGTTTTTATTTTTTTTATATTTTTGTAGTTTTTTGTCTGTTTTCCTGAGCGGGTTTTTGTTGTTTTACTTCAAAATCACTTGCCCCCTGATCCCTGGAAAGGGTTTAGGCCGCTAAGCGTTTTCGATTTTACGTTGAGAAAACTTATCCCGCTACCTTACTAAAAAAGGGGGGTTCTAAATCAGGGTGCCCCTTTTTTGGGAAAATTAATTTTGGGAGAAGGGGGATTAATGTCTTTCCTCCGCCATAAAAAACTGGAAAAATCGTTTTAAAGAAAAATGTACTTGTTTAAAGGGGACGTAAAACAAACAAAAAACAGTTTTTTAACTCAAAAAAAAGGTGTTAATTAGCCGATAGACACCACAGAGGCTGATAATGTTTTAAGAAAACAAATTCTCATGTGATACGCGCATGTGTTTCAATGATTTTATTTTATAATTTGTCATTTTTAACACATTTTACTCAACAGTGCATAGGAACACAAATATCTCATTCCCCTAAGTTATTTGATATACTTTTTATGCAGAGTAATAAACTTAAGCGAATGTTTAGAAATGTTTACTAAAGAAAACGCTCTGAATGTCTCATTTTTTTTTTATTTATTTAAAAAACATGACATCTAATATAGAAAAAAAATCTGCAGATCGGTCTTTGTAAATGGAGCTTTTTGAGGCTTGTGATTTATATTAGTAACATTTTATTAACATTTAATTTTTCAGCATGTCCACCAACAGTACATAAGGATGTCAAAGGGTTTGGACCAGATTGTAAATACAGATGTAATTGCAAGAATAATGACCAGTGTAACGAAAATGGAGAATGCCCGCAAGGTTGTTTGTATGGATGGATGGGACCAGCTTGCCAATACCGTATGTCAATTTGACAAAAATAATCGTAATACAAATGAAAGGAATATTTTCCATGTATTTATTAGATTCTCGATATAATTTGGTCTATATCAAATTTCAAATAAAGGTCGAATATATCCATTCAATATTTTTGAGATTATTAAAGAATCTGCATACGTCAGTATGGTCAAGATTATTTATTTAATTTAAAACTTGATACATGTACAATATAATTTCTCTATTTCACATAGAATTTTTTATATTTATGTGAGATATTTTTGTAGTTTAAAGTGAATAATTATATAAATGCAACAAGGATTCAAATCTGAACGAAAATTGGCACATCACTATTTATTCATATATATCATTTTTGCACAATCTAAATTGTTAATACGCATGATGTTTTTATGTTTTAGGTTAACCATGCATTAACCGGCGAAAAAAACGTCGCAGATTTATGGGAGATAGTCGCTATCGGCACGTTTTGCTATGAACAGTCTTTACAGGTCACATGTAGTACAGCATACACAACATCACCAGAACAATTATGGTGGAGGGTCGAGCTGACTTACGAGCTTTATATAATTGGCCTTGTTCTCATAATACCAGATTCAGGGACAGGTGTGTTAATTTTATATTATATTCTTAATTTGTAACTACAGTCAACTTGCAAGATTATGTCCTCAATTGTGGGGGCGTGGCCGATTGGTTTAAGCGTTTGACTAGTAATCTAAGTATTGCTAGCCGCGTGGGATATTGACAAGTGCTTGTTTCCGTAAGCAAAGAAGTTTACACTCATTGCTTATTACTGATTTGTTCCAGGAACGTATTCGAGAAAGTTTCAAAAAGCTTATAGCTTCCACCACAATGGAACTGAAATAAATTAGTATCAACCAAACTGCAAGATAGTTTTCTTTATCTAAGTTGAAACCTGTTGTAAATCAACACTGGACGTCTGTTTGCAAATTTCTTTCCTGGACATGATTTTGAGCGAGTGTCTAAAGAAAGTACAAGTTAAATGGTTTCCTGCGAGGGAAAAGTTTAAATAATTTAATTTAAAAGATATTTTAATTTACTCTTTTCAATATTGTTTGAAACACACACACACACACACGCACACACACACACACACACACACACACAAAAGAACAAAACCAAAACGTCGAGAAAATAGTTGACAGTAATCTATGAAAAGAAGATTGTCTTTAGAGACTGATGACCTTCGAAGACCGGGTTGGTTATTTATTCATTTATTTTGTTTTGTAAAAATTTGAGTTACAGGTACATCGTAATTTTCAAACACATCTTTAACGGCAAAGTAATGAAAGAAAAAAAGAAGTGTCACGTAATAGTGTTATGTACTTAATTAGGTGTAATATCCAATAGCTAAATCCGTAACGTACCGGAAAACGGTATTTAGCTAGGTTTTCGAACCAATCATGTACGGTTTACAAATCACGTGCTCCTCCATGTTCCGAAAACAGGTCAAGTGCTCTTCCATGCCTCAAAAATAAATTGAATGATAAAATGCTAAAATCGTGCATTTTTACCCAACGAGGTCTAATTCATCGATTTATGTATGATTATAAATTAAAAAATGTAATAATCGGGGAAATACACGATATGTGTCTATTTATTGATCATGATTTCTGCAAGCGTCTAGAGGTGTCCTGTAATTGGTTTTAGGAATTTTTCTTGTATTAAGACTATTATTGAATTTGACTGTTATTGAAAATAAGATTTCTAGATGCTAAAACAGTTATCTGTATTCTGTTATTCCGTAATCATTTAAACAATTCACATACAGTATACATGTACTTATACGAGGGGTAGTCAGAAAATATCCGGACTTTTGACTCGTTCTCGAAAACCATTCAACATTTTAAAAAAAATCTTTCTACTCTTTTTCAAAATATTCTCCACCTACTTTTGCCATCTTCGTGGGAGCTTTTGTATTCCCACTGTGAACTATGACGTAGACCATTGTTTTAGGTACTGTGTAACAGCAGATATCAAATAGAGTGAAATAAGAATCCATAAAGAAAGCCCAACGCGACAAAATTGAAAATGTTGCAGGCTCGGTTTGATTGAGCCTGTTCATGGACGGTACTGTCAAGTGCAAACTACCGTCCACGCCCCCTAGCACCGGCTTAAGCAGAATTCAACATTTAACATGAAGTGGTAAAATTTAGAATTTTGAAACATCCGCAGATGTGTTCATGTGGCGGTTTTCATGGAACCTTCAATGTGACACGTTAGTGCCATTCCATGAAAAGCGGCATATGGTCCCCAAGTAAAAAAATGTGTGTGCCCTAAACGAGAAAACAATGGGCGGAACTAAACAAAATGGCATTTTGAAAGGGGATCTGAGGTTATGAAGCCTGCATATCACAGATATAACGTCAAAAGACAAATTTAAAAAGCAGGCCTCATATCCTAAGGGTGATTCAACAGTATTCAAGTGAGGAATATTGGAACCACCCAACAAGAAAGATGCCGAATAGATAGAACTAAAATACCACAAGCACAACAATAATGTCGTGCGGAACGATCTTTAAGGATCGGAAATATAACATCCCGGTACTGTCAAGTGCAAACTACCGCCGCCCTGGTCTTATATTTCTTTCCAGCAAGCATTATTTTCAGTTCTGGAAACAAATAAAAGGCACAGGGGGCGAGGTCTGGGCTATAAGAAGGATGAGATAACAATTGCCATTTGTAAGTGTTGATAACCTCCACTGTAGCTGCGGCGGTATGGGAGGAGGCGTTGTCGTGAAGAAGGGGGACTTTTTTTCTGTTCTTGCCTGGGACAAATTTGCTTCAGCTTTTCTCTAAGATTTGTCAGAATTACTTCAGAATAGTACTTGGTTTGACCTTTTGGTATAAAATGAGTAATTATCATTCCTCGTGAATCCCAAAAGGCAACAAGCATGACTTTGCTAGCCGAAGGATACAGCTTAAACTTTTTAGGAGGTGGGGAACCAGCTCGTTTACACTGCTTTGACTCAGGTTCGGAATAATGATCTCACATCTCATATCCAGTGATAATGCGGTTCAAAAACTTACCTCCTTCACGATTTAAACGACTTAGATGTTCTTTTGCATTGGTTACTCTGGTTGCCTTTTGATCTGCGGACAGCTGTCTAGGCACCCACCTGGCACTTACCTTGCTCATGCCTAGGTGTTCGTATAAAATCTTGTGTGGCGATGCCTTACCGATGCTAAACTTGTTAGCTACCTCCTCCAAGTCCTAGGCCTGTCACAAACACGTGTTCTGCTTTCACGAAACTAAGAAACCCAGTTGTAGAAGGTTGAACGTGATACACATTTATCAGAAAATCTTTTTAAGCCGCTGAAAGATGTGGCAGGGCTTTTCACCTTCTGCAACCAGAAACTTTATTACAGAGCGTTGTTCGTCTAACAAAGAGTCCATGATAGACGAAACACCTATCATATATCAGAGGGCAAAATACTGTGTATACACAACAATCATTGAAAATAAACTGACCACGTTATTGGCGAATAAATGTAGTTTTCACCATTATGCGTATAATGTGTGTATATAGATGCACGTGGAAAGAGAAAAGTGCGGATATGTTCTGACTGTCCCTCGTATCTATATAAACACTTTCATTTACTGTCAAGTCATGACAGTGGCTTGGTTTATTTTTCGGTTTTTATAGCAATACGTACTTCTATATAGGAATGCCTAATTCTGCAATAATTTTAATAAACATTAGCATAACTCTACATTTGGACAATTAACATTATCTTGCGTCAAGTATCTACAGCTGATACTGTACTTTTCCCATCCATCACATTTGTATTATTTTATACCTCCGTCAAAATTCATTAGGCTGTTTTTCCCTGAATTGATTTATTTCTTCTGAAAAATGTTCATTTGCGTTTGTCGCAATCGTGAAGTCTTCTACCATAATGATCAGAATAATTCCTTTTTTTCCAGAGAAGTATAGAGGTTTTACCATAGAGATAGGAAACGGCACGGGTGTAAAAGACTTATGTTATCAACATGGAACTGACAGTAACGGAAGTATCAAAATGAATATCTACTGTGAAAAAGAGATAATTGGTAATGTGGTGGAAATTAAACTCGCTAAAAATGTAGACAAGCTAACTCTATGTGAGGTTAGAATATTTGGAGGTAAACAATTATTAACTAGAATCTATTTCTATTAAGTATTGTTGTTATAACTTTTGAAACAAATATACACATTCGCCAAAGGATACCGTGATATGAATTGACTTACGCCTGGTCTGTTATCATTTTGAAGAAACAGTCTATTTCAGTTGGCTCCTTTATGCTTATTTAAGAATATTAATTCTGTTAATCCCAGTCATTGTCGCATTTTTTTTCAGTAATAATATCACAATATATTCTTCATCTATAAAAGACCATATTTGTTTAATACAAGACACAGCTTTAATTGCCACCGTGGGAAGCCGCGGTGATTCCCGGCAGACATCGGGCGATTACTTGACAATTGTAATCGATTAAATTATGATTGTTTGTCAAAATGCTTGATTAAATTAAATTACTGATTACTCCATTTTGACATTGTAATTAATTTAATTACTTATTACTGACAGGAGTAATCAGATTACATTTATGATTACTGATTACATGTACATAAGTTAAGAAAATTAATGCAATGGTTCAACACTATTGTTTTATTGAACATTTCAATACAACAAATGTCAAAAAAAATAATCCAGCTTAGTTTTACAGTAATTAATTCAGTCTCATATCTCACTTTTGTCAGTTATTGCAGCTTATTCTTGCTCTTTACTGAACAAGTAAAGTCTTCTCCATAAGTGATAATATACCTATCCAGGCCATTCTTATAATTTCACAGCTAAAAAAATACTGATATTTTTCTAATAGCAGTTAAATTAGTTGGTATAATTGTGACAATCATTTATGTATTTGGTCAATCTGTCAGTGATCTTTTCATCACCTTATTAAAACACAGGTGTCATCAAATCTGACCTGATGTGACTGCATTTAATTAACCTACACTACCTAAGACAATTAGTAGGCATTGACACTGGTACTTTTTTAACCTTTATAATTATGTATGTTTGTTCAGCATTTTTTTAAGCTTAACATGTATTGTAATCATACATGTAATCATTGTGATTACTGATTAATTGGTCATGTAATTGATTAAATTATGATTAAATTACAGGAAAAAAATTATGATTACTGATTACTCAAAAAATTGTAATCGATTAAATTAAATTAAATTACCGATTACGATTACCCCATGTCTGATTCCCGGCATTTGTTTGCCCTTAAAATTATGAAAATTAACATACATTTTGAGCGCATGGTTTTGGGAATAAATATCAATTTTGAGTGCATTATTGCAAATAATGCACGGTTCGAGTTCAAATTCGCAGGAATATAACCCCGCAGGCTTTTAACACTGAGTGATTAATTGCAAATTATTTTAACAATAAACCGTGTCTAAATATTCTACAACGCCAGAAAAATATTTTTTCTTTCAATGTAACATGCTAATAAAAATGGGATTTGATTAAAATGTATTGAACTATATTAAGCGGAGAAATAATTTTCCTGGCGTCATTTGGTTTATTCAAAAACACTTTACTGTAAAATCCTCTTTTCTTTTCTATTGGTTTGTACAAATGACATCACGTTAAAAAATAGACCAGCCGTGCATTTCTCTTTGAAACGGAAGGGTATATGAAAAGCTGATAATGATATTTTTCTAATAGCAGTTAAATTAGTTGAAACGTTTATAACATTTTTTGTTAATCAGAAATCATATTAGCTAAAGTCGAGATCAATGACACTGTCTTTTGACTGTCTCGATCAACTCAACCAAATCCAGAATGTAAAATTGTTTGTCATAAAGAACAGACAGACAGACAATCAGAATAGATGAATGGATCGATGGATGGATGGCTATATTAAAGCATATATTTTTTAATTTTAGGTCGACATTTATCGTTTAACAAGTACACTTTGCAAAAAGAAACAACATTTTGGAACGGATTTTGGAATTCATCGTATGCGTAGATGAAGACAAATTGTCGTGCCACGGGAAAAAACCAAGATGTTGAATCTGAAAGAACATGCATGGCAACTAAAGAAACAATACCAGCGAGAACACATCAATGGAGTGTTAACTTAGATACTGATTATCTTATACAAGGGATACATTTCTTTGGTCGTTACGAAAAATTAGGTTTGTATTAAGATTTTATATGCGGATGTTTATATTTCTGTGCACTAGGAAATGATAGATATGTGTTGCAACAAATAATATAAGATTTTAAAAATATTAAAGAAACAAACATATTAGCATATTTTTAATATAAGAAACATAAGCTTTTGCAATAAAACTATTATAACATATATTAACATAGGTTTTTAACCTTTCCTTTAAATATATATTTACTATTTATTTTTTGTTTTACAAAGTCAACAGCTGTAGAAACTTGAAATTGATCACGTGATACTCTTAACCACTTGAAATTATTGGTAATTTTGTGACTTTAATATATATAGTAACATATGTATTGATATCGTTTTAATTAAATAGCATGTCCATAAGTATTTAATGTACCTAACATCGGATTATGATCGCAGGACCGTCCTGAAATAATATATCAAATTTACGAATGTTTCTCAATTAATTACAAATAACTTATGTAACTTATCTTTATAACCAGATTTTTATACATTTACATGTTTTTTGAAATTAAAATTTTAGTCTTTTCTCGCGGTAAGACTTTTGTTGTAAACATTACAAGAGGACTACTATATAATAAATGGTTCTGCAAATAGAATAAGACTATCTAAATGTCAACTAAATGTAACATTATTAATATGTGCACATAATTCCATTTCTTTATACAAATAATAGTTTCGATTGACTATAACAGATCAGTTTCAGTCGTACGAGATATATGTGAATGGTGTCAATACGTCTTCGCGTGACCCTGTATTCACTGACAAGCCGGCGGGTACAGACATAGGAGACTATAATCCGAAATCTGTAAACTTCACGAATCCAGTCTTTGGTTTGGAGGTCCAAGTACAAAGAAATGCAACCATTCTTGTTATATGTGAAGTAGAAGTATTTGGAGGTAATTAAAGACCCCATCTTTTTATCCCCTGCCGAAAGGCGGCGGGGATATAGTAATAGTCTCCGTCCGTCCGTCCGTCCGTCCGTCCATCCTTCCGTCCGTCCGTCCGTCCCACATTTTTGCCCGGAGCATATCTCGAATTTTATTTGAGGTATCACCTTGAAACTTCATAGGTGGATAGATCATATTGAGGAGGAGTGCGGTGCACAAGAATGATAACTCTACCTTGCATATTTTTTCAGTTATTGTCCTTTGTTATTTTTCAAACTTAATTTTTGTCCAGAGTATAACTCAAAAAGCCAGATTTCACTCAGGAGCTATGCAGTGCACAAGAATGATAACTCTACCGTCATGATTTTTGAGGTATTGCCCTTTGTTATTTTTCATTCTTAATTTCTCACCTGAGTGGAGCATAACTCAAAGGTCTTTGAGATGTCAACATGTAACTTCATAGGTGGGCAGATTTTATTGAGGAGGAGTGCTGTGTGCAAGAATGATAACTCTTCCCTTTATACTTTTTGAGTTATTGCTTTTTGTTATTTTCATATTTTTTGTCCGGAGCATATCTCAAAAAGTGTTAGAGGTATCAACTTGAAACTTCATAGGTGGACAGATCATATTGAGGAAGAGTGCATGGCACAACTCTACCCTGCATTAGTTTTCAGTTATTGCCCTTTGTTATTTTTCAAACTTAATTTTTGTCTAGGGCATAATTCAAAAAGCCTTTGAGATATCAACATGAAACTTTATAGGTGGATAAATGTCACCCAGGAGGTGTGTAATGTACAAAAGTGATAACACTACCCTTCATTATTGTTGAGTTATTGCCCTTTGTTATTTTTCATACTTAATTTTTCACCTGAATGGAGCATAACTCAAAAGGTCTTTGAGATGTCAACATGAAACTTCATAGGTGTATTTATTTTATTGAGGAGGAATGCTGTGTGCAAGAATGATAACTCTTCCCTTTATAATTTTTTAGTTATTGCCCTTTGTTATTTTTCATATTTTTGTCCGGAGCATATCTCAAAAAGTGTTAGAGGTATCAACTTGAAACTTCATAGGTTGATAGATCATATTGAGGAAGAGTGCATAGCATAACTCTACCCTGCATTAATTTTTAGTTATTGCCCTTTGTTATTTTTCAAATTTAGTTTTTGTCTAGGGCATAATTCAAAAAGCCTTTGAGATATCAACATGAAACTTTATAGGTGGATAAATGTCACCCAGGAGGTGTGTAATGTACAAAAGTGATAACACTACCCTTCATTATTGTTGAGTTATTGCCCTTTGTTATTTTTCATACTTAATTTTTCACCTGAATGGAGCATAACTCAAAAGGTCTTTGAGACGTCAACATGTAACTTCATTGGTGGATTTATCTTATTGTGGAGGAATGCTATGTGCAAGAATGATAACTCTACCCTTTATAATGTTTTACTTATTGCCCTTTGTTATTTTTCATACTATTTGTGCGGAGTTTTCTCAAAAAGTGTTACAGGTATCAACTTAAAACTTCATAGATAGATTGACCTCAGTGAGAAGGAGTGCAGCAAAGTTAACAAGAATGATAACCTCCCCTGCATTATTTTTCAGTCCTTGCCCTTTTTTCAGCCAGCAGTATTCACATATGTTTCAAATCTGTAATCTTTTTAGCCATCAGTTTTCATTACCAAAAGATCTCTTAAAATTGAATTATTCTGCTCTACTACATAGACATTTTTCTATTGAGCAAAAATATTCGGCGGGGAATGGCCATGTTAACATGGCTCTTGTTTTTCTTGTTTTTTTTCTTTTGTCTAATGAGCATTAAGCCGAGTATGATATGATCCAGAATATTCACTTGACGTAATTCATTCAATATTACGGTTGAAACTATGGTTTAAAGACTAAGATTATCTTTTAATTATTAAACACTCGTGTATGTTACTAAACTTGTACACTGTGCGGTTCCACGCATCGAGTTCCAAGCTCAAGGTACTCTTAAAAAAACCTAGATGTACTGAACAAAAAAAAAGAAACTTCCCATGTGTTTAAATAGAGATTTAGTGATATTTAAAAACAATGAAAATGTCAAATGAGCTACATATTTTCGGGCGAATGATTTTGTGTCATATAACACAGATTTTAACTCGACTTTAACTCGTTTTGCAGGAAACAAGCTGACCGCGATTTTCACATGTATGCGCAATCTAGTAGATTCTTGTATATTTTACGAAACCTTTCATTGTAATTTTCTAGACTTTCATGTCAAAAAGAAGGACAATGACCATTTTATTTTTCAGATTTCTGATATGCCAAGAATTCCGCAAAATTTACGTGAACGTGCCATTGGCAGGCTTAATGCTTTTATGATGATAAAATATCGTCGCTATGAATATTGGTTGTTGTACTCGTGCTATTAGACACAACGTTTTCCAGCAACAGGACGCACAGAATATTGACCACGTTATTGACCTCCGTGCGTCACGACGCGTGCTATGAACGCTAATTGCGGAACACCCATTGCGCAATCGCTTCTTCCAAATTGTAACCGCTACTGCTGCTAACACCCCTGGTATACATATCAACTGAATATCTGCCCGAACTTTGCGCGAGAGCGAGCTACATGAACGACCATACGTTAGTTCTGTTTTGAGGCGACTTCGCCGCGTAGATGGTGTTGTTAATTATACACACCAACACTGGCAATAAACAACGATGAAATATCGTTCTTTTCTTTGACGAGTCGAGGTTTTTCATTTATCGAGCTGATGGCAGGGTTCGAGTATACTGTAGGAGAAAAGAACGTTATGCCGACTGCTGAAGGAGGTCATACCCGATATAAATGTGTGATTTTGTCGGGCGACCCATTCTGTGTTTTAACCCTCGGTTATATTTTTTTCATACAAAAATACAATGAAATAATCTTTCATTCGTATGTTGTTTTTCGTCATAATGTAGATGCCCTTGCTACAATTGAAGGAAAATTAAAAGAAAACCAAGATGATTAAATAAACCGTGCCTGTTTACTACTAGCGCCTTTATATTCCCCACGGGTGGACCTTATACCTTTCATAATAAACGTGTAACATCTGATAATCCTATTATATTTCAATTCGTAACACAAACTTAAAAACATCTAGAAACTTCTAACCCACATAAGACTTGAACTCTCAAAGAGAGACTAATAGCATGCAAGTAGATTGACTCATTGTATATTACGCAAATAAACACACTGCTCTAGATGTCAAGCAGATAAGCATACTCCTCTGTCGAGACTGTCGAGCAAATAAAAACACTGCTCTTGACTATAGAGCGGATAAGTACACTACCTAACCGTTGAGCAGAAAAGCGAATTTTACACAGTCGTTACTATTTGTATCTTTGGTAATCGAGATGTGCACACAAACATTAATACATAGTTCAAATTTTTATTGTTATATTGTTCTCTAATTTGTATGATATTTTGTATAATAACCAACTTGAAAATGTACCATACAAGATTATAGTATTAAAGTTGTTTTAACGAAACAGAATGTCCTCTTGGAAAGTGTGGTTGGGATTGCGAAAAGGTTTGCATGTGTAAAAGTCAGACAACTGGGTTTGCAAAGATTGAAGGATGGTGTCCATATGGATGTAAAGGTAGATGGAGTGGACATAACGGAACATGTAATATTGGTGACTATCATTACATAAGTATATTTATATTTCCTGTTTCTATTTTAAATGTGATAAATTACTCATACTTATGAAGATTAAGATAGTGCGTAAGCCGACACAAGACGTGGAATCCTCTGTATGCCATAATACTGGTATATATTTGAGACAGGTTTATTTGGGACCAATAGGCAGTTAGTAAGTTTTTTTTCCATTTGAAGAAGGCTAGATGACATCAATACATAGTTCATCGAGGAGTAAATAACTTTTCCATGCTCTGAAGCAGTTTTTATATTTGTATGTGCCTTCTAGATTGTAAGAAAAGCATCATATTCACTCCAGAATTTTTTTTTGTATGTTCAATTGGTATTCGTAGCATATTATAATTAGACGGATCTTTTAGTTGTTCAATTAAATAAAAATTATATCAATTTGATTCAATACATGTATTATTTAAGATACGTTTAACAACAAAATGTTGAAAAATAATCATTCCTGTATACATTAAACTCTTTGATTTTCCATTACATTTTAAAAATGATATTAATCCAAATAAACTTCAAAATTTAGTATTTATCTTAAAAAAGATGTTATTTTAATGAGCATGTTATACTTAAGGCATATGAATTATCTCTTTATATAGTTATATAAATTTGACAGACTTAATATTCTAGACATTAGAACTCAATATATCATTAAATTCCTTGCCGAACATATATCTGATAGACTAAAATCTAGCGTTATAAACACTAAAGTATGTGATTAATTTTCTAGTAAAACATATGATTTAAATCAGAACAATGTTTGTTTTATTAGAGTGTTCCAACACACAATGGGGTCCAAAATGCAATAAGACATGTGGTAAATGTAAGAACAACGACTATTGCAATGCTTCGGATGGGGCATGTCCGAATTCATGTGAACCTGGCTGGATCCCGCCTCTATGTATACAAGGTATTATAAATGCGATTGGTATTGCAAAACCAATAACGACTTTGCTTTTTCAAGTGGATTGATTCAAGTTCTTTGAGTAAAGATGTGTGTTGTAGTAATTATATTTGAAGTATTTTTTTTCTTTTTTTCTGAATGGTCCTATAAGAGACATTTTCTCGAATATTCTCTTTAAAATATAATTTGAATAAGATTATCGGACAAATCTATGTATGTTTTGTTGATTTTTTTTAATTGAGCAATTTCATGTTACAGAATGTAACAACAACACTTACGGCGACGATTGCAATTTCACATGTGGACATTGTAAGCATGACCTTGCATGTAACAAACAAAACGGCGAGTGCACTGACGGGTGTAGCCCTGGATATAAACAACCACTCTGTAATCAAGGTAATGAGTATGTCTTGCAAATAAATTTCTCTTTTTTTTAAATTTGATTCACAAATATTAATATTTATCAATAAACTTGCTGATCTAAAAATTTAGATTTTTTATTTTTTGGCTTTTGTGTTTTACGTCCCACTAACACAGTATATGTCATATGGCAACTTTTCAGCGTTATTGGTGGAGGAAAACCTCCTCAGGCAATAGCATACATTTTCAAGATGAAACAGCCCGTTTTTACGCTAAATTTGCTTAATGTGAAACGTTCCCTGAAAACTTTAATCAAAGCTACATGGCATAGCATTCTTCGATTTTTGATATTTGACACAAAACCTACAAGACATTTATAACAAGATAACAGCATACCTTTTTTGACAATTTCGGCGACATGCACTAACTCGGAAGTAGTGATAGAGCATTTACCTCCAAAAGAAATAGCTCTGTTGTTGACCAGGCATAACTAAGTACAAGCCAAAAATTACAACACTGCCAAATCCATTATGATTCAATTTAATAATTTAGAGATCAAAACCATTTATTTATATTGCTTCCTTATCGCAACACTTCTGTTTACAGAATGTGATCCACATTGGTATGGTAAAAACTGTAGTGAAAGCTGTGGAAAATGTCATGGAGGAGACAGTTGTGATCACGTGACCGGATATTGTCCTGCTGATTGTGATGCAGGATATCAGGGCCAAAATTGTCAGTCATGTATGTGTCACATGATTCATATTTTTCTGTACACTCATTCGTAGTTTACATCAGTTTTTGTAGATTATAGTTTTCGGTAGGTTGGGAAGAGTCTGCATTTATATCTGATAACTTATTTTGGGAAATTCATTTGACAATAGGCCGCTTCTTCCTTTAGATAAGTTATTTTGTGATGAATTATCCACGTGATCAAATTAATTTCAGAATGGAACATGTCCACGAATAGTTTAACTGCACAAGCATAGTGAGCTAAACAAACTCCATGAATTACCCATAAATTCTTTCTTTATAAGATAACTAAATAAACTTTAATGTCAATGATTTCAAAGTGATTTCCTTTCAGAAACAGAACCCTGTGATAAGTATTTCCTAAGAAGCTAATCAATGAAAATTTACAATTATTGTCATCCCTATTTTACCTCCAACTGCTCTTTAAACTTTTCTACACATATCCCCAATATTAAAGAGTGCGCTAAAGTTGGTGTGAAGTTCCTCCAAGCAATCGCCGATTGATATGTTCATAACATCACATGAACTCATCATAAAATATTAATCTACATTAAAATGATATGCATTAACATTATTATAATTCTTCAATTTTACAAGAAGAGCTCGATGAATGGCCTTCACGTATAGCAAAGAGTCAGCTATATTATTAACTAATAGAAACCTATAATATCTAGGTTAAGTTGTGTCTTTAAATTGTATAACAATCAGGATTGGGCTCCGTATTAACTAGTTCATGTTATGTGCATGTAAATTGCAGTTTGTTCTTCGCAATTTTACGGTATGAACTGTTCTAAAACATGTGGAAGTTGTGCCAATAGCGAAACATGCGATCCGATAAACGGAGAATGCCAAAATGGATGCAGTCCAGGATGGATAACCATAATGTGCAATAAGAGTAAGTGAAATCATCATAGAACTGAACTCTCAGATGGAGAGTTAAATGATTTTGATAATGTTTAATGGTATTACTCACAATATAATGGCATTAGGGTGTAAACATTTTTATCCTGAAATGTGATTAGTTTTAGTGTGTGTATGTGTGCGTTGGTTAAACTTGAAGAAAAAAAATGTATGTTGTTGGCAAGTATGAGATACGTACATGAATCCATATCATATACATGTGAATATTTATATAGCAGATAATAAAATGTTCTAGAACATACATATTATTCAAGATTATTAAAATGTTTATTCTTAATCACTAAGAACTTTGTCAAATTTGAAACAAAATCTTTCTAGCAATATTTTATAAAAATATCCAAATAAAACATTTTTTTGTTTTATCCATATTTGGAATACTTATTGAAAATGTGGTCAGTGTAGACCAATTCACTTCAATAAATTATCATTGAACAATAAAATTAATTTCTTTTAACAATATTGTTTACAGAATGTGATCCACATTGGTATGGTAAAAACTGTAGTGAAAGCTGTGGAAAATGTCATGGAGGAGACAGTTGTGATCACGTGACCGGATATTGTCCTGCTGACTGTGATGCAGGATATAAAGGACAAGACTGTCAATCAATCATTGATAGTATGTTATTTTATTATTTTTGTATATATGTACTTAAGTTCTAATATCATAATTAAAACCGTACCATTAACGATGCAATAAAGTAATTCGTATGCAATCCAAAAATAGAATGATAATAATATTAAAATAGAAAAATATAGAATTCCTAAAGAAAACCCAACACGACAAAAGATGAACGAATTTTATAAAAACAAAACAAACAAAAAACATTGAGTTTCATACCGAAACTCACTTAAATTTGAGAAATTTTTCGACTTATACAAAACATTTTTCTAATAAGTGATTTCTTAAAATTTGTATCGATTTCTTTCAATGATGTGTATTTTCATATTCAGCGAAAGAACAAGGTGATGCGCGTTCACCAACAGGAATCATTGTCGGCGCTGTGATTGCAGTCTCGATTATTTTGATCATAATCCTGGCTTGTTTTATCTACAAGTACAAATCAAATAGGTAAGATTGTATGGAACTGATTTGAAACCATTTTGTGCTAGCGACAACACGTCAAAGCGCCAAACGTCATGTTGTCGTATTGTCGTCCTGTCGCTAACGATGCACGCCAAACGGCGCATTGTCGTGCGGCGTGTTGTCGCGATGCCACATTGTCGCTTGACTCAAATCGAAGGATTAGCGACACGGCCAAGCGATATGGCGACATCGCAACAACGCACCGCACGACAACGCGCCGTTTGACGTGCTTCGCTAGAGACAGCACGATAAGACGATAGTGGGACAACCCGTCGTTTGGCGCGTTTTGCTAGCGACAAGACGAATAGGCAATAACGATATAGGTTTTGTTGACGCTATCGAAAAACGCAACATGCAAAGTGTACCAAATCAACCACCATATGATTGTGTTCTGATGATAGTATAATCATGATATATTGTGGCAAAACTAATAATTCTGCTGAATGAATATTTAAACTGAAAAGGCAATAAACCTGTAAAGCTTGAAGCGGTAAAACACAGAATGAAAATATTTTTTCTGAAAAAAAAAACACAACAACAAAAAACAAAACAAATAAAAAGACAAAAAACAAAGCAAAACACACACACACACGAAAGGGGAAAAACAAACAACAATGTGTTATTCGATTTTATATTCAAGTATTATATCTTAGCATGGCGACTGTATGACTGAAGCGTCGTAAGAGAAATATCGTATTTCATATCTTATTTAATTTTACAGCCAGTAATTTACTTTTCTTTTAGCAATTAAAATAATGTTATACCATAAGAATACTTATCATGTGAGTATATAATATAACGTTAAAACTTCTACTTTAACAGGAACGCAGGCATGTCTGATAAAAGAACACAGCCAATGCTGACAAATGAAAGTGAGTATAAATGAGGCCAACAACAAAGTCATTACTGATTCACACTCCAACCAACGACTGATAAGTATCGCCACGTCAGAATTTTGTTTCTAATCTTTTTATGACTTGCAATACCAGACATTAACAGTATTTTGTACCAAGCCTAAACGCAGCCATCACTAATTGTCACTGACTTTGACTTTTTGAATTGTAAATATTTTAATTCATCATAAAAATAAAAATGATCACGCACATTTATATAAAGCTTTATCTTCAGCAACTCTTCAGATGTTTGGTGTTTAATAGATAAAGTCTCTTTTGGAGTTGAATCAACATTTAGGTTTTCGATTTTTTCATTGAGAAATCAAAAAAAAACACATTTGGACCTCTTGTTAAAAAGTTTAAGCAACGCATATTTTAAACCTTTTATGTGTATCCAACAGCTGAATTTTCAGAAATAGTTGGGTATTTATTCTGTCCTGAATTGAAAGAATGAAAATATTTTTGAACTGATCTTTTAACTTAACCCTGTATCACATTTTCAGGCATTGAAGTAAACGATGAAATAGTGACTAGTAAAAAGAAAAATGGTGAAGCGAAGCTAGTCGCACAAAATCAACCTGATGACTTAGGTACTGGGAAGAAAGAGAAGAAAGAAAGTGCAATCAAGTTATCGTCTTTCCGAACATACAGTAAACAGGTTAAAAGTGAACCGACAAAACTTTACGATGAGTTCAACGTAAGAAATAGCTCGTTTACTGTCTCACGAAAAAAATAATCTAATAACGATCACTGCTTTTAAAGACTTATTAAGGTAGGCATGAAGTAATAAAATGTGAACAAAGAAAAGTGAAATAACGCACCTTATTTGATATCATCTGTTAGGTAAATTATATCGATATCTGAAGGTTTCCCTTAAGCAACATAGCAAGTGTTTTCGACATTTAAATTATCATCTTGGCATGCAACAATTTGTGAATGTTGATATTTTATGCATATAAAAAGGCGTCACACGTTATGAGTGTTCGTAATTTCACGTTCTGTTTGTCCAGCCTTAATCAAAGCTTTCATTTCTATATTCTGAAGTTGTCATAAATTTGATTTCACATTTAATCAAAGCTTTCAGTACAATTATGAAGTTGTCATATAATTTGATTCCACACTTTATCAAAGCAGCTAGCTTACGGAACGTCGGTGATTCTACTAAGGTGTTCGTGCCTGAAATAATGCACGGAAGGGCACCTGAGGTCTTCCTCCACCAGTAAAGCTAGAACGTCTCCGAATGACCTATACTGTGTCGGTGTGACGTAAAATCCAAAACAAAACAAAAAAAAAATAATAATCAAAGCAGCATTTCGTCATTCTGAAGTTGTCAGTAAATTTGATATCACACTTAAATCACAGCTTTCAGTACAATTATGAATACTGAAGTTGTCATATGAATTGATGCCACACTTAATCAAAGCATTCATTTCTTCATTCTAGAGTTGTCATAAATTAGATATCACACTTAAATAAAAACTTTCAGAACAACTATGAAAACTGAAGTTGTCAATATAATGCCACACTGAATCCAAGCTTTCAGTACATTTTACCACATCAAGGGTTTCTTTCATTTTTGTCTATTCAGGAGTTACCATATGGCCTGAAGCATGATGCGTCAGAAGCTGAAGCTGTTGAACACAAGCCTAAAAACAGATATAAAGATATGTATCCCTGTAAGTGTGACACTAAACTTCCTTTCTTACAAACAATTTACTTGTGTTACTTTTCAAATGAATTTATAATTATTCATAAAGATATTGAAAGACATAAAGAATTAAGGAATTTCTTGATTAATAAGCGTGTTATTGTATTATTGTCAATTTTTTTTGGAATTGTATATTTATAAAGAGAAAAATATATTTTGAGGGACTTCTTTGAGTTTTTGTTTTGACATAATGGAAATGAAAATTATTTTTCGAGATAAATGTTCAATTTGATGTAGGTCTAGACTAATAACGTGTGGAAATTTTCAGACAATTCGCTAACTTCTTTTTTCCACAATAATTATTCTAATTGTAAAAAATTAACAAAAATTGAAAAGTGTTGGAACGCTTTTCACTTAATCGGACTAAGAATAGCATTATAATACGGGTTTCAATTCATCTCTGGCTTTATTTTGTTTATTTTCCTTTACTTTCTTTTCCCTTTTAAGTGCCCCAGCTGATGTATGAAGAATTTCAAAATTTGTATGTTTTTATGCTTTTGGACCTTAGTGATGTTCTTGATTACATGCTTATGACAAAATGGTTTTATTTTAGACAACGCTAACAGGGTTATTCTCCCTAAAATTGAAGAGAAGCCCGAGTCTACTTACATCAACGCAAGTTATATTGATGCAAGTATTTTCAATATTTTGTCATTTAGATAAGAATCTAAACATTGTCAAATGTCTAGTTAAACGTTTAACATATGAGCCGTGTCATGACAAAACCAACATAGTGCGTTTGCGAAATATACGAACACTGATATTATGTTATACAACATGTATGTTATACTAAAGAAGATATATTGTTTGATGTGTATGATTGGTCACTATTCTGCTGTACTCCGAATTGCAAGAAGATTAAACTACTTTTAATTTGTTTCTAATGATGATTGGGCAGTTTTATAACAAAATAAAAATATAATGAAACGACTTGATTATGAATGGATAGATAATTGAATTTATCATTTATATTTAATTGATTGCTTTGAAATAAGTTCGCGCGAATACAGTTCAATTCGATGTATAACTAATGGCAGTTTATCTTTGTATTTGTAGGGATACCACTTCCCTAGAAAATATATCGCTGCTCAAGGTATGTATAGAAAACGTTAAACACTTTCAAACCCACGTGCCGTTACCAAGTGGAATATGGAATATAAAAGCTTGAAAATTAAGTAAAAACCATATAGTCATAGTAAATATCTATTGCTCTTACACCATTATAAATAGTTCGTATCCTGTTTAGAAAATGGGTCTCTGTTATTTCGATGGAAATAATTCAAGTCACAAATGTTTGTTTATTCTGTCCTTCCAAATAGAGACGAAATGGCGTTGATGTGTTAAAAATGTTAAGCAGAGTTATATTTTGACACTTGAAACATTAAAAATTATAATTAATTAGCCCAGGCCAAGTGTCTTTTTAAAATATTTATTTCGTTTTAGGAGCCTTAAAAACGACAGTGAACGACATGTGGAGAATGATGTGGTCACAAGATGCGAATGTGATAATCATGCTGACAAACTGTATTGAAATAGGGAAAGTACGAATCGCATAGTTTATAATTCAAAATATGGCCTGCGCTAAGGCAATCAATTTCCTATGCATAAATTAATTAAATCACGTCCAAGTGTATGAAAAAAGATTCCTTATAAAATTCAACTAGCAACATATCTTTAAATAATTTTTACTTAACTCATATATTTTCATAAAATCATTAAAAACTTGAAGAATATCTTAATAATTTTAGAAATTTGGAAGTATGATTTTAAGAAATCAAAATTGTAGATACCAAAGCTGACTTGGAGCTAATTGAAGTTTGCTGCACATGATATGCACTTAGTTAACTATGAAAAAATTGTGTCATACGAATTTGTTATGGATCTAATTAAATAGATCACTACTGAGAAGTACATTCTTTGTATGCAATTGATCAAACTGAATTAAGTATTTCAAATAATAATTCATTATTTTAAAAATAAAAAATGTTTTCATATTTACAATAATTTGTTATTGATGTGAAAAATAAAATTCATTTAAAGTTAAGCAAAACGTTTTAATTGAAATGTTTGACACCTTTCAGATAAAGTGTGTTCAGTACTGGCCGGAGAGTGGCACCGAGACATACGGCGATATACAAGTTGAACTTGTCTCTGTCGAGGAATATAGTGATTTTAAAATTAGAATGTTCCTTGCTACTGAGGTAAGTCGGCGTTTGAACTGTGTATAGACAACAGTTTTAATGAAATATGAGCCGCGCCATGACAAAACCAACATAATGCGTTTGCGACCAGCATGGATCCAGACCAGCCTGCGCATCCGCGCAGTCTGATCAGGATCCATGTTGTTCGCTGTTAGTTTCTCTACTTGATATAGGGTTAGTAAGCGAACAGGCGCAGGCTGCAGGCGCAGGCTGGTCTGGATCCATGCTGGTCGCAAACCCATTATGTTGGTTTTGTCATGACACGGCTCATATGTTGGCATTGAAAACTATTGAAAACTTTGAAACACTAGCTGTTATTGCTTCTTTGCTTTTATTAAATCCGAAATCAAGAAGAAATCATGAAGAAAATCATTGATAAAACATTTTAATGCTATGCGAACACATAATAAACAATTAATTCTCTATGTAGATGTTTTTAGTATCTATGATAAAAATACTGTTTCAATGTTCCTATTTCACATTTTGTCATGGAATAATTCCGTTATTATTTTGTTAAACTAACAATATTTACAATATGGACTTAATTTTAAGCATCTTATATTTCACTATCATTTTTAGATCTACTTCTGATTCATCATGTACATAACTTATGAACACACATACTAAAAACTGTTTATGCGCCGGAAAGACACAAAAACTCCTACTTATGCACGTTAAGTTATCCCATTTAAAAGCACCTTTTTGAAAATTGCAGACTGACTCTGGAGAACATCGGTCCATTGTCCAGTTTCACTATACTGCCTGGCCGGACAAATCAGTACCAGACTCCGCTCTGTCACTTGTACAGTTCTGGCGAAAAGTAAGAGGTCATGAAAAGGCTGATAAGTTTCCGTGGGTAGTCCATTGCAGGTAATAATTATCTTTATATGCTAAATATATTTATCATAGTTACAAAAAAAATCCGCACTGAAATTAAGTATGGTGCAGCTTTTTACAGCCGCTACATAATTATACTTGACACCTGCTTTTGTGAAATCTTTACTTGCTTCTCGCTATACAATTCAGTGATTGGAAAGGTGATTTATTTTGTAGTGCAGGGGTAGGTAGAACAGGTACTTTCATCGCGTTAGATTACCTCTACGATCAGGGTAAATCCAAGAATGTAGTAGATGTTAAAGACTGCGTTAACACACTACGAAAACAGCGACTGAACATGGTACAAACTAAGGTAAATGTTTTGAGATTTTGTAGAGATTTGTATTCTTCAACAGTCAAGATTTTGCATTTGCATAAGATTAGTTAAAGGTTTTCTGAGAAGTGCCTCTTTCTTGAAAGCGTTTGTTTGACCTATTTTAGAGGCTATAAAATTTTGTTTTAATCATAGACTGGAAGCTATTAATATCTATAGTAACGCTTTTTCGGTATACCTGTTTAGGAACAAAAGACCGGCGCTTGTATTAATGGTTGTCCTTTTGCAACCTGATTTGTAAACTTTTTTCTCTTTTTTGTGTTGATACAGTAAATTGTGTTTCTTGTAACAGACAAATCCTTGTTTTTTCATATAGGAACAATACTTGTATCTTTGCGAGGCTGGAGCGGAGTCCCTTACTCCTATTGGAGCTGTTCACAGAAAAGAGGAATTCTTAGCCATATGCACAGAACTAATAAGTGCAACCGGGAGCCATGCTTTGCGAGCAGAATTTGACGTAAGAAATAAAATTCGTGAATATTATTATTGTAGGATAACGGTAATTAGACGGTAATTAGTCAACAAAACATGGGCGGATATTAATTATGATAGTAGCTGTCACCGCACACGCGAGTAAGATATGCCTAATTTAGTTAATTGATGAGCATGTCATCACATAAGCGGAGATTGTACCGATAGGGAGTAAACATAATTAATAACTAAATTGTTAGCTGTCCGGAAACGCAAATTTGCAGTTATGAATTATGGGTTAATAAAGATTAAAATGTAAGTGGGTTTTACTATTTAAGGTAAGCAAAATATTACATTCTTCAGTGTGGTTTTTGATGTTATATAGACTCACTAACTCAGGTTAAATTATGCTAAATACGCAGTTGACATTAATTATTATTGCTTTACGTATTTGTTTAAGAATTGTGAAATTATTAAAGACACTGATTAAACAATAATATCTTATACTAAATAAAAACATATACATGAAAATCGTCCCTTGTAGTGTAACGCCCAAATCTGAATAACTCAATATGAATAAGTCAACACAATATCAAGTTTAAACGTCATGTATGTTTTTTATTTAGTATAAGATATTATTCTATAAAACAATTGTTTGATCAGTGTCTTTAATAATTTCACAATTCTTAAGCAAATATGTAAAGCAATAAGAATTAATGTCTTGAAATTGTATGTTGTTAATTACCTTGTCACGTGTTCTCGATAGCTTGAAAGTGTAAAATCAATACTTTTGCTTTTGAGTTTAACATACATTTAATTTTCAATTTCTATTTTTTCCAGTTACAATCGATATTTTATCTCAAATTGCATCGCTTGAAGTAAAAAACGTTGTTTATAGCTAAATTTAGTAGTTCGGAAGGTATTGAAATATATCATTTCTTAGAACGTTTCATAAAACATGTGTATTTTGTCAACGGCTGTTTCTGCGTAAACACTATTGAACAATTTACCCAATATCATATCGACATACATTATCATATTGCACGATCATTTGCATTTATTTAGGGGCGTCTATGGAACGCCATAGCTGCCTCATGTTGTTACATTTCGCTTTATTTTCCCCAAAATTCGTCTTATTATGTATAATAGTGGTGTTGGCTTGCCATCGTTTTATGAGAACCTGTCTTAACGAAGTCTTATTAGGTCAAATATTCGTGTTATCTTGTCGAAACGTAGTGCTGACTTGTCTAAACACAGTCTTGTTATTTCAAAACGTCATGTTATCATGTCCAAATCAGGTGTTAACATGCCCAAGGGAAGTCTTAATATGTCTAACATGCGCGCCATCTTTTCAAATTAAGATTTCAACATGTGTAAACACTGCCTCGCTAAATGTGGTGTTGAAATGTCTTGAAATTGTCTTATTATGTGAAACAGAAGTGTAATCTTGTCGGAACTTGGTGTCATCTTGTCCAAATATAATCCTGGTTTGTTATGACACGGTTGTGTTATGTTATACCGTCGTTTTTTCTTGTCCAAATGGGGTATTGACTTGTCTAAACACCGTCACATTTTGTCAGACTGCCATGACATTATGTTCAAATTCGGCGTTATCTTGCCTAAAGAATGTCTTTTATGTCAAAATAGAATGCTGTCTTGTCCAACTGTGGTGGTAAATTGTCTAGAAATTGTCTTATTATGTGAAACAGAAGTGTTACCTTTGTCGGAGCTTGGTGCCCAACTTGTCAAACTCATGTCTTATCATGTCAGCTAGCAGTGATATATCTTGTTCAACATTTATATTGACTTGTCTGAGTATTGTCCTGTTTTGTCAAACTGTTATGTTGCTTTGTACGAGTTGATGTTATTCTGTCTTATTGTGCCAAAAAATTCATGCTGTCTTGTCTAAAACTGTTGTTATCCTGTCTAAAAACACACTTATTATGTGAAATACTAGTGTTGACATGCCAATACATTATGTTTGTTTGTGTAAACGTTATATTTTATTATGTCAAACAGTATTGTTGACTTGTCGAAAGATGGTATTGACATGTCTAAAACACGGCCTTATTTTCTCACCATTGCCATGCTGTTTTATCCAAACTTTATGCTAACCTGCCTACACACCGTCTTATTATGTGAAATAATGGTGGTATCTTTACAAATTATGGTCATTAACTGTTAAAACGCTATTTTAGTATGTCAAACTGTCACGCTATTATGTCCAAATACAGATTTAACTTGTCTAGATTCGTCTTATTATGTCAAACAGTAATATTATCTTGTCGAAACGTGGTGATGACCTGTCTAAAATCTTTTTGTCAAAGTGTCATTTTATTTTGTCAAGTTTCAGTGTTAATTAGACTAAACATCGTCCTTTTACGGCGAAGTATCTTTTTGTCCTTTTCAAATGTGGTGTTTACTTGTTAAAACACAGTATTATTATGTAAAACAGTGGCGTTGACTTGCCAATTTATTACGTTACATTGTCTAACTCCCGTCTTATTATGTCAGATAATCGTGTTATCCTGTCCAGATGCGATGTTGTCCAAATTTAGTATCACGTGACCAGAGCCCGTGAAAAGATAAAGCACAAAAGATAACGGGCGGTTTGACAAAATCAAACAGCGCGTTCTCAAGACAAAACTAAATTTGAACAAAATAACACAATTATTAGACATAATAAGACTGTTTTTGTTTTTTACAAGAAAACATCAAATTTTGACAATATAGCACTTCTGTTTTACATTATAAGAAAGAGTGATGACAAGTCATTACCACATTTCGACAAGATACCGCAATTTTTGGCATATTAAGACTGCTTTTTAACAAAATAGCATACAGTTTATCATAATAAGGCATGATTTAGTTCAGTCAACACCTAATTTCGGCAAGGTAATGCGAATATTTGATATAATAAGACAATTCAGTAGTAAACGTTGGCTAATTAACACTTCTGTTTGACACAATAAGACAATGTTAAGGCATTTAAACACCGTATTTTGACAAAATAACATAGCAGTTTTATGAAATAAAGCTGTGCTTTGACAAGTCAGCACCAAATTTCGACAAAAGAACACTACTGTTTCAAATGATCAGACAGTCTTTTGACAAAACAGCTCCACAATTTGACCAAATAGCGCGACTAGTTGACATAATATTACGCATTTCAGACAAGCCAAAACGTCAATTTGACATGATAACACTACTGTTTGAAATAAGTTAACAATGTTAAGACAAGTCAACATCACATTATGGCAACACTACACTAATGTCTAACATAAAAAGACGCTTTCTAGGCAAGATAAAAAGAAATGTAACAACATAAGGCAGCTATGGCGTTTCATAGGCGTCCGTGACAGAGTGGTTAAGGTCGATGACTTGAAACCACTTGCCGCTCATGGCTTTAGGTTCGAATCCAGCCAGAGACTTTATATTCTTTCATGTTAAGAAACTATTCACAAAGCTTACGGAACGTAGGTGGCTCTACTCAGGTATTCCCTCGTGTCTAAAATAATGCACGGGGGACATGGGGCCTTTTTCCAAGAGTTAAGGTGGAAAGTCGCTATAATTATGACGTCTACTGTGTTGGTGCGACATAACATCCAACAAAGAAAACACATACAAACAAACAAACAAACGCAAAAGAAAAAAAAGATTTATTCTCAAAGATTCATTTTTTTATAGAGCATAAATGATGACACTGACATAGACACTGAAACTGTAGAAGCATTATATAATAACACACAAGACCCTGTCGAAAAACAACGTAATTTAAGCGCATTTCGGGAGGAAAATATTCCAAAGTCAAGGGATATCACAATTGTACCAGGTAAAAAAAACCGTTGTATTGTGGCTTTTTAACCTATATGTTAGATTTGTTAATTGCTTTATTTGGCTTGGTAATTGCGAATATATTTTATTAATTGACATTATAAATGACGAATATAGTGTAAATTAAAGTGAATTGGTCTATGATGGAAGGTCAGTATGTATTACAATAATAATATTTTTATGCTGATGTTAATTGGTATCATAACAACACACCACGAAAGAATTATATGAGCCGCGTCATGACAAAACCAACGTAATGCGTTTGCGACCAGCATGGATCCAGACCAGCCTGCGCCTCCGCGCAGTCTGATCAGGATCCATGCTGTTCGCTTACAAACCCAATTACAAGTAGAGAAAATGATAGCGAACAGCATGGATCCTGATCAGACTGCGCGGATGCGCAAACTGGTCTGGATCCGTGCTGGTCGCAAACCCACTATGTTGGTTTTGTCATGGCACGGCTCAATATTATATTTACGTTGTTTGAAAGTGTGAGATACATGATCCTTTATTACATATATTTATATAACTGATTATAAATTACTCTTAAACAAAATATTATTATACATCATATAAAATTTTAATGTTTTTACTAAATCACTTAGAACTTTATAAAAAAAATTATTTTATTTTTTCAGAAAAAATATCTTATAATAGGATATCCAAATGATATAGTGCTACTGTTTTTATGCATATATTTGAAATACTTATGATAAATATGCGCATAGCAGACCAGTCTACTTTAATGTATTATTTTAATTTTATTGATAAATTAAATTTAACATAGCATGAAGAAATATAATAATAATTTATTTTACATGTAGAATTACAGAAATTACGATTTACATTTTTCTAGATGATTTACATCGTCCAATGTTAACACTGGCTGTGAAGGGTAGAAATGACTTCATTAATGCGGTTTTTGTTTCAGTAAGTATAAATAGAAAATAATATTATCAGAAAGAGTTTTTGGTTATTTTTGATTCAGAATAAAATATATTGCCATGGAGGTTTATTATTGGTGAGAATATATTATTGATTAATGAAGAACGCATTCTATAAGATTAGAGTTTTTGAACTAACATCTTTTCCAATGATATTAATCTACGTTTTTTTCTTTGCATATTATATCTGGTAACTATAAGTACTTTTTATTGTTTTTTTTGTATACAATTCTAAAACAAAGAATTAAAGCCTTATGAGTTCATATAATTGATTTGAAATGTACTGTTTGAGTATAATCTCTTTTATTAGTCATAGCATTACATTGGGGTTGTAAATGGTCAATGCGAACATGCAGTGTTTTTGTTGTTGTTGTTGTTGTTGTTGATGATGTTAAATATTCAGAAAAGTTTCGACATTCGTAGACTTTCGTCGTATTCATCCAACCATCATAACTTTACATTTACATTTCTTTACAGACCTATAGGAAAACGGATCGCATGATCTTAACGCAGTTTCCATTAAAAGATACAGTTGTTGACTTTGTTAGAATGATTTGGCAGCTGGATATAAAAACGTTGGTCTTACTAGAAGATACTGTTACTGCGGTAAGTTCAATGAGAGTAGTAAGTGCAGACACTGCGGTAAGTACTGTCACTGAGGTAAATACGGTAACTGTAGTAGTAAGTGCAGACACTGCGGTAAGTGCAATGAATACGTAACTGTAGTAGTAAGTGAAGACACTGCGGTAAGTGCGGTGAATACGGTAACTGTAGTAGTAAGTGCAGTTACTGCGGTAAGTACTGTCACTGAGGTAAATACGGTAACTGTAGTAGTAAGTGCAGACACTGCAGTAAGTGCGGTAAATACGGTAACTGTAGTAGTAAGTTAAGTTACTGCGGTAAGTGCGGTGAATACGGTAACTGTAGTAGTAAGTGCAGACACTGCGGTAAGTATTGTCACTGAGGTAAATACGGTAACTGTAGTAGTAAGTGCAGACACTGCGGTAAGTGCGGTAAATACGGTAAATGTAGTACTAAATGCAGACACTGCGGTAAGTGCGGTGAATACGATAGGTAACTGTAGTAGTAAGTGCAGACACTGCGGTGATGGCGGTGAGTACGGTAACTGTAGTAGTAAGTGCAGACACTGCGGTAAGTGCGGTGAATACGAAAGGTAACTGTAGTAATAAGTGCAGACACTGCGGTAAGTACGGTCACTGTGGTAAATACGGTAACTGTAGTAGTAAGTGCTCACACTGCGGTAAGTGCGATGAATACGGTAACTGTAGAAGTAAGTGCAGTCACTGCGGCAAAAACGGTAACTGTAGTAATAAGCGCAATCACTGCGGTAAATGCGTTAATTGCGGCACTGCAGTAATTGATGGTTATTAAGATTAGTACTGTAACTGTGATGATAAGTACATTTACTGCAGTAGGCATGGTTAGCTTATTGCAGTAAGTATAATCACTGCGGACAGTGCAGTCACTGAGAAGTATAGGGATACTATACCAGCTAAGACAGGAGTGATAAGTATTGTTATTACAATATGTACAGTTTCTGTAGTAAGTAAGATTTATGGTTTAAGATTCTATTACTAAGATGGATACCTGCTATGAACGGTCACTGCAGTAAGTACAGTTCGCGGTCAGTATGTTAACTGCGGTTAGTACAGTTTTGTAATGGTAATTAAGTACTGTCACTGCAGAACTGTGGTAAGTACTTAATTCTGCATTTCATATTGTTGTTTGGAAGTTTTGTTGAAAATAAAAAATACCGCCCCCCCCCTCGCTCTTTGACTTACTTAATTATAAAAGGATAACTGTGCGCTGTTATGAATCAATGCTAGTACTATGGTGTTTAGTGTCCATCGGGGTCATTCATACTTATATTCTCGTGCTTTGAATATATTTTAGCTAAAGCACATGTAATGGAACGTAGTTCACTGGCTTTTTCTGTGACCTTTCTTTTAGAATGTTGCTTTTTTCTTTAGAATCTAACCTTTAACAATATTGTTGCCGTCTGATAAATTTGTTTTGTATATTTTGCTGTGAAATATGTTATTCATTGTAGGAAGGCGTTTATTGGCCAACAACTGAGGTTCCAAGGGCAATCTCACCATTCAAGGTGATTCTCCTGAATGACGTCAGACATGAGTATTGTACAATTAGGACTATCAGATATTCTTTCCTTCAAAACGACAATGTACGTTTTTATCATATCGGTTTTATAAAAAAAATACCTTATAAATCTTGCATTTCATACTTTCATTAAGGTATAATATATGTTTTTTAATTGACATCATTTTATAGCTTACTTGTTTACGTTTGGAAAAAGTCGTTCGGAAAATAACTTAAAAGAAATTTTAAACACAAATTATCGTGTGTGAAACATTACCGAATATATTTGTAATTAGCTGGAACGTAGAACAAAAATACACTTTATGAGACAAGGTTAGTCATACATGATGTGTCTTTAAGAAATATATGTGTTGTAGGAACAGCAAAAGGATGTTAAAATGTTCCATTTTCGAGCATGGCCAAGTTTTGAAAAAACACCAGAGAGTACATCGTCATTTATTCAACTGATGTCCGAAATAGAGCGGATCGATGAGAAAAGTAGTCCGTTGGTTATACAATGCCTGTATGTATTCTTAACAAAATACATTGCATTTTTTCTAATAATAATTATAAGAATAATAAAAATAATAATGATAATAATGATGATGATGATAATCATGATATTAATAACCATAATCATAATAATAATACATGTAATGATGATGATGATGATGATGATGATGAGAATGATGATGATGATGATGATGATAATGATGATAATGATGATGATGATGATGATGATTAATACATATAATGATGATGATAATGATAATAATAATAATATAAAATTACCTGCATTTTATTGAAATATTTTCATACTTTTGGCAAAAAAGTGTCTGGTATATATTCCATTACTACAATGTGTTGATTCAACATTCATTGTGGCTCATCTCTGATGTATTGGAAGCTTAAGGCATACTTAAACCATTAACGAGTCTGCTCCCTGGTGCAAGCCAGTATTGATGCGTGGTTGTGACTCTGGTAGAGTTCAAACCGCCGATCACTGGGTTTGAGACACATCTAATAAGCAAATTCGTATTAGTAGGGATATAAATTCGTTTCCTTGTTTTCAATCCTTAGCGTTTTTTATCTTAACACCTTCTTAAAGCTTACTTGTTTACGTTTGGAAAAAATCGTTCGGAAAATAACTTATATAGATATTTTGTGAAATATTACCGAATATATTTATATATATTTACTGGAACGTAGAACAAAAATACACTTTATGAGACATGGTTAGTCATACATGATGTGTCTTTAAGATATACATGTGTTGTAGGAACAGCAAAAGGATGTTAAAATGTTCCACTTTCGAGCATGGCCAAGTTTTGAAAAGACACCAGAGAGTACATCGTCATTTATTCAACTGATGTCCGAAATAGAAGCGGATCGATGAGAAAAGTAGTCCGTTGGTTATAACAATGCCTGTATTATCTTAACAAATAACAATTGCATTTTTCTCTAATAATAATTATAAGAATAATAAAAATAATAATGATGATGATGATGATAATCATGATATTAATAACCATAATCATAATAATAATACATGTAATGATGATGATGATGATGATGAGAATGATGATGATGATGATGATGGTGATAATGACGTGGTGGTGATGATGATGATGATGATGATGATGATGATTAATACATATATGTCTTTTGAAAAAAAAATCAGTTTCTGCCTTGTTCAAACTCTAAAACGTTTATCTCGACATTTCGTTATCTCGATATTTTTGGACGGTCCCGATGAATTCGAGATAACGAGAGACTGAAGTGTTCTAATACAACTGAAGTGTTTTATAACACAGAGACGGTGCTGCAAAGAGTGGGCTGCTATGTCTTGTGCTCAGTGTTCTGGAAAGAATGAAAACGGACGGCGACATTGCGATTGCGGAAACTTTACGAATGATTCGACTTAGAAGAAAACAAATGATCGGCAATTTTGTGAGTCTGTTACAGCTTTGTCTTAACTTTATTTGCATTTTGTAAAATAACACACTACGTTAACATATAACAGTTATGTTATATTACAGACAAGTATTCTATAGTACAAATGAAGTTCTTAAACAAGTCAACGTTTATAAGAAGTTCTTTAAAGCTGAAAATTTTCTACAAGTGAGCGAATTATAACACAAGTGAAACTTTTTGACGGATTTCATAAAGTTTCACATAAATTGAAGAAAAGAAATCTCATTGTAAATATATAACATGATAAGTTTAACGTTCGAGTTAAAATGTCAAGGTCGTTAAAATGTCAAGGTCGTACGGGGTGCGTCCTGTGAATATTGCCTTTGCCTTGTTGATCTTTATTCTCGTGTTTCATGTCTTTTTCTATATTAAATTTTGTGTTTTTCTTTAATTTCAGGAGCAGTATAAGTTTTGCCATGAAATTGTGCGGTCATACATCGAGACACATGATGTATATGCAAATGTGCTGTAATCATGATAACTAAAAATAGACTACACTATAAACAATTCACTCCTTTTACCTAGTATGTGTTTGCATGAACGAAACATATCAATGAGAACTATTGACATATGAGCCGTGTCACGACAAAACCAACGTTATGCGTTTGCGACCAGCATCGATCCAGACCGGATGCACAGGCTGGTCTGGATCCATGCTGGTCGCAATCAGTTTCTCTACTTGTAATAGAGTTGGTAAGCGAACAGCATGGATCCTGATCAGACTGCGCGGATGCGCAGGCTGGTCTGGATCCATGCTGGTCGCAAACGCATTACGTTGGTTTTGTTGTGACGCGGCTCATGTGTATAAATATTATATTTATTATTTTCGTTAGGATCTTGACTCAATTTGAAATTCATTTGTATCTTCTTTGTAAATACTCGCTGTGATGTTAAATCATACTCTATTGATGTAAATAATTCACTGCTATCAAATTGTTATTATTTTTTTTTCATTTTGCATTGCATTGCAACGATTTTCTGTGGGTATGTTTATCTTTTGTTTCAAAGACAAACAAACACCCTAGAACATGCTTTACTTCTTTATTCACTCCTATAATGCGTAAAAGAAGCATCAAAGTAATGTATAACTTCCATGTGATAAGATATTTATATGAATTTTATTAGAAACGGTATTGATTATTCATTAATACGAATACTTTAATTTCATTTAAATAAAACAGGTTAAAAGCTTTTAACTCTGTTTTTTTATTTTTTTTATAATTGTACCTTTTTTCTTTATTTTTCAATAGAAGAAAAACAAAGCTTTATTATTCGTCTAAGAAACTTGCAAACATTCTACGTTGTATCACCGTCTGAACATTGTTCAAATACATGCTTATAATATATTTTTTATTCCTTTACAGCAGTTTTACAAATAATCTTTTATGTAAAGTTATATTTGCAGTTGATTTCCAAAGATTGGATGCTAAGCTATGTATGTTATGTGTGCCATATGTATTTTTGTCAATGTCATCAAATCTTAAATCAGACGAGACTGTTTGCTGTACTTTTTATTCTGTTATATATCTGTACAATTTGGTCTATTGTATTTCTTTAAGAAAGATTTCCATTAATGAATGTGTCAATGACAACATAATTATTTTATATATGCTATATCATGCCGAGTCAGACTTGGATAAAACATATCTTATCTTAGCAGATTCTATTTCCTGATATCTATCATTGCAATTATCACACCAGTTAACCCTTTACCTCAAATAGACGTGTTTTCTCGCCTTATAACCCCATCCCCTTTGAAGCCTCAAATACTGAAAAATGTCCTGTTTAGGCCCCAATCACTTGTTTTCCTTTCGGCGCCACCCCAATCGAAAAGATACATGAGGAGTGGGGGGGGGGGTTCAACGCAAAGAAACCTTTGGACTTGTGAGAGGCTAAAATGGCATCAGGTCGATCTGAATGTAACGTCTAACCAACACTGAAAAGCCTTTGACTTTATCTCCATCCATTGAGAAGTTGCAGCACTTTGAAATAAGTTTTGATGGAACAAATCAACGCAAAATAGTGATTTTTGGCAAATTTTAGATGTCTTCCGTTGTCATGGTAACTGAGCATGCCGTTACAATGGTTTTGGTCCAGTATTCATTTGTGCCAAGTTTGATCAGTAAAATGGTATTAAAGCATTTTTTTTTCATGTTATAGGAGGCGTTTCAATGAAAACAGTCATTTTATACAAAATGCTTCTGCGGTAATGGGTTATTACATCCTTTCATGGCATGCACGCTATTATTGCATGGGATATTATCAGCTAACGAAGGTACATGTAATACGAAACAACGTAGAGAAATCTTATTTGTGAAGAATAGGGAATCATGCCTTTGCAAAAAAGATACTTTATTGAGTACAATAGTGAATTATGTTGGGCGAGTGCACTGCGATTAAATCTATATTGGACGAAGCGCAAGCCGGATCTCATGTAGGTTTCCCAGCTATTTATAATTAATCATGCAGTAGAATCAGTATTGTACTCAACGATGTATAATGACATCTTTACTTATTTCGCACCGCCATTTTACATATTAATTCTATTACATCGAGTACTATAATGATTTTATGTTTGTTTTTTATTTGTTTGTTTTTGTTTTGTTTGTTTTTGTCTTGTTTTTGTTTGTTTGTTTGTTTTTTGTTGTTGTTGTTTTAATCTGAAATTATAAACAAGTGTAGAAGGAGAACAACAGTGATTTGATATTTATTTTTTGGACTCGAAAATGAAACGAGGCTAGATGGAATACAATAGTAATTTGATATGGAATTTTGACATGAAAAAAGGAAATGAGGCTACATTGATAAGACTTGACCAAGAACTTATTTACATTTGTAGATCACGTTCGTGGTGCAGACGCTAGAAGTTCATTTGTTACATTTTATATGTGTAAAATAAACTGTAAATAGTACAGACATCAGGTATAAAACGAATTGTTAAGGCTGCTCTTCCACACAAAACGGTTTAAAACATCAACATATTTGATAACAGATATCACATATGCATGGAAATAGAATTTGCAGTTTCCATGAGATACCTGTAACTGTAACCTTGCAGTTGTTATGTTTCACTTGACACATATAAAAACTCTTTTTATCATACCAGTTATAACATGTAGCGGGTAGGACAGCTTGGTGCAGTAGAACTTACTATATAAATGTTAGTTTTAAACCGGATCACCAAGATACCAGGCGGTCATACGATGTGCGCATCCTCAAAATAACATTTTTTCAACCGGTATTTTGAACAAAAACGAGTCATGTAAAATAATCGGAATAGATTTGAATTTTTATTTCTTTTGTAAATAAGTTACCTTACTTCTAGTTTAAATATTCCAAATGCCTTGACACAAGTATTACCTTTCTCGTCAGTATTTCACGTTGAATGCGATTTTGATTCTGGTAACTGCCTGAAAATTGAGAAATTGTCGATTAAACTGAAAGTTTCAGACAACTGAAAGTTAGTTTATTCATGAATATTTTTTCAATCTTCGTTCTTTTTACAGAAAATAGACATTATGATACTGCGTACACGCTAAAATATCAAGATACTGCGTACACAGTTATGTGTTATTGATTCTGCCTACACTTTCATCGAAGCAGTCTAAGTTCATAATGGGATCAAATGGATACATGTAACACTGGTCAACAAAAAAAAGTAATATCAAATTAAATAAATAAATACGCGGAATCAGAATTTTGAGGATGCGCGAGCATCGTATGACCCTCTTGAGATATGTTCTTCTTATTTTGTCTTTTTTATAGACATAATTTTTTATGATAAATTGTGTAGCAATCGATTGCAAGATAAAACAAGAGCGATCAGTGATCACATGTGTCGCCTCATGATGGCCAATTTCATGTTGGGACAAGTTTTGTGACATACGGACAGACAGACGGACAGTGCACAACTAGACTTGGTACTGATCATTCCTGTAAAGTTTGGATAAAATTGCATCAGTAGTTTATGAGGAGTAGTCTGGACAAGCTTTTGTGTATCTGGCAACACACAGAAAAAACACCTTTTTATCAAAGGACCATAACTCGGCCAAAAATCATTCAACCGGAAAACCCGTGAAATATGCGCAAGGACTTGAGCTACAGATCAATCCTGTAAAGTTTCATTGAAATTGCATTAGTGGTATAAGAGAAGTAGTCCGGACAAACTTTAAAAATAAAAATTATTAAAGGGCCATAACTCTGACAAAAATCATTGAACCGGAAAATGCTGACAACATGCACAACTAGCCTTGGTACTGATCATTTCTGTAAAGTTTGGATGAAATTGCACCAGTAGTTTATGAGGAGTAGTCCGGACAACTTTTGTGACGGGCGGACAAACGGATAGACAGACAGACGGACAGACAGACGGACAGATAGACGACGGATAAGTGATCCCTATATGTCGCCACGACTCCGTAGAGGCGACACAAAAACCTTACCAATTGTTCTATCGGTATATGTAATGTAGATGATTTGTTTAACTGTACAAACTAAATAAGTTTTAAATGCAAATTTAATATAAAGCATAATTTTCTAGATGAAAGACCTAAAGTTTGCATAGAAGGTTAAATTGTTTTGGTAGAGCTTTATTTTAGAGATATTTTAAACCAAAGATTCCACCCATATCTAAAGCAGCACGCCTCCAGGTTCATGCTAATGTTCATGAAAATTTGGAAAATGTATTTAACAGTATAATAATGTAAAGTTACCAAAAGAATGCAATTTACACTTTGTCAATGGCACATACAACCTATGTCAATTACTATAAAGAGGTCAAGATATGCAAAAATAGCCCTTACTGCGTTAGTAACACAGTAGAAATATGGTTATAAATACTGAAAATTTCGGTCATTAATCGCACATAACATGCAAATTATTACTAGATTTTTTATTCTTTATACATTTCCTAAAATCTTAGGTTTGATTTTATCGAAATAGTTTTACTCATCTGGAGGCGTGCAGCTTTAAAGCTTATTAAGTTTCCATATATAGTCTTTTAGACTTTCCACGTTATTGAAAGAGTGTTTTATGTCACATGTTAGAGGACGAGTATCATTTGTCATAGAATGCTGACTATGAATTAAGAAAAAAACTACTTCAGCATATGACCGGTATTATAGAGTACCGAGCATGCAAAACTCAACTGATTTTATAAACTCTGAAAATTATTATTGCCCAAGGCCTTTTTGGTTTATTGAATACAAGACACATATAATGCGAGATGTAGTTGAAATAAATATGTCAAATCATACTCTGTCATTTTATTTGAACAAAAATATATTTAACCACAAACAGACACGTGTTCTTTTGTTAACAAAATATGTTGTGGTGAAATTGTGAGTATAAATCCAACAATCTTATAATCTGAATTAGACGAACCAGGGCCATGTAGCGATCTTAACCTTTGATATTCTATATTTTTCAATCTAAACCTTTTTGGTATATTATTATTTCATGTAATTATCGATTTCAAGCGATATGGCAAATATAACATGCTTCTTTATACTAGGCAATCGTAAATGAGGTTTTCCTTGCCACGTGCATTTCCCAAATAAGTGCTAAAACCATATGCATAATGCAGATGTCGGGGAACGGGAAGAAAAGGGATACAATTCTTTCCATGTATATCCAGGGAGTATAGGCGAGGCCTAAAATAAGAAGTAGTCACAAAGTAGCGCTCCATTTTTAAAAGAAATATCGCAAGGGTATAGTGAAAAAGTTGGGTGATACAAAATGTTTTACTAAGATATGAAGCTTTTTTTCCTTGGATCATAAAAGAAAAACTGTATCATTTGTATTTCACTTTATTTCTATATGATAAACAAAATTTAAATGTGGTCTAGGTATGAAAAAGTAAAACAGAACCCTGGAAACTCTAAGCATCACAACACTTTATATTATACAATAACATACCATTGTTTATAAAATGCCATCAAATCAAGTTTTTACACAATCAACAGGCCAAAAATATTGCCTAAATGACAAAAAGAACCACTTCCACTGATGATTATCATTAATTTAAACCAGGAAAACACAATCATATCATTGTTTAACTTTTAAAATATAACAATGACATGAAATTTCACTATATGCATGTACTAAAGACTTATTTTTCCACAACATTTTCCAAGTGCTTACAAGCTTGCACACCACTGACCTTTCTCGCCGCCCTAATTATCTGAAATGGACTTGTCAATCTTCCAAACTGGATTAAAACATTCATCATTAATAGGGAAACTTTCGAATTTTGACTAAATTAAATAGCGAACAGTGTAGGACCATGATCAGACAGCACGGAGATAACCGACTGATCTTTGACTTGCACTGGTCACATGGGTCTAATCTGCGGGCTAAAGGTACAAACAATTACTATATCAAGCTTACTTAAATGTTAAGAAACAATTATGCACATATATATTACACTTTTCATCGAATAAATTAACACATTTATCATTGAACTGTCACATCATGGACAATAGCATTGGGCTTGTTTCGAAAATATTACAGGTTAAAAATAATTAAAGGTTAAGATTTGATAAAATATGTATCACAGCTACATGAAAATATAAAATTATACAACATATTTTAAATAAAAAAATATAATAATAATAATTTGCATTAGTCTTATGGATTAAATTGGTTATTTATTTTCTTTTAAATACGTTCAATGCCTCCATATAAGTTATTAATGTTTTAAAAAATAAAAACTTCAAACAGGGTGTTGACTGAAAAAGATCACTGAGTAGTAAACTTTTTAATGACAAAAGTGAACAATGTTTCTGAACATCCCATTATATAGCATCCCTCGTATAAGTAAGTATTTATAATACATTAATACATATAATACTTAACATGTTAATTGTTACTTTGGGCTGTGATTGTTTGCTATTCTTAACAACATTATATTATCTACATATTACTAACATTTTTATACATAAATGTATTTTGACACATACATTTTGCACATTATCTGAAATATGCTTTAAACTACTTTAAACAACTTAATTTGTTACATTCATATTTTTCTTATTTTTTTTCGGGAGGTGTGTTGCATCAATGAAGTAACTAGTTACATTCCAATACACTGCAAAAACATTTAAGATAAGTTCATAATTATGTGTACATATACAGTAAAGACATATTCCATGCATATTTGTGGAAAAAACAACAAGAAAAATAATGGCACAAATGTTTGTGAACATAACTCTGAAGGTTAACTTATACTATAACATTATTTCACGATTATTAATTCTCTTGTTCAGAAATTAAACAATTGTTACATTATATAAGTTACAATACACTTCTCATTTAAGACACAGATTTGAGTCTTACTAGTAACAATTTTTTATCGTGAATTTTTCTACATAACCACCGGGAATACAAAATGTTCAAACATATCCTGTCAATTGAAGAAATTTCAAATTTACAACACATAATCGTCCCTATAGTGCAATAACTGGTTAACTCCTATTAAATTTAAAAGGATTTCACCTGTTTACTGCATTAATGAAACAATATGTCTGTTCCTTTTGATTTTATTACTGACTTAAATATGACAACATTATTCAGGTTTAATGTATGTTGAAAGGAGGTTATTTACATTTTTCATTATCTCTATGAAATAAACATCATATTAATCAATACTAAAAATTAAATAAAAAAAGTATAGTATTGCATTTATTGAAAAAAATTAATTATTTTAAAAATAATGACATTAATACAATACAAGAAAACAACACAATACAACTAAACAATACAAATTGAGTATTGAAATCTAAAAACATAAAGTTCACTACACAATATTGTCTTTGTAGTGTCACACTAAATCATGTACAGCCTTTCATTATCACGTAAGTTTTGAGAGAAAAAAAGGTAGGTAAAAATCTCATTTAGATGTAAATCTATGCCTTTACAATGAATTAATACATGTACAAACCATCAGAATATCAATCAAACAATTGCACACTGTTAAATATTTACATAAAAGAAGCCATTACTTTCTCTTAGATTCTAGGAGTTTCTTTTTTCACTGTATTGAATAGCTAAAATAGTTCTTACTTAATCCAAATACAAAGTACTTAATTAAATATTATTTACGAAATAGATATCAATTTTGAGTGCATTGTTGTAAAATAATGTATGGTTCCAGTTCAAATGCGTGGGAATATAAACACGAAGGTCGATAGGCCTGAGAGATAAATTACAAAGCATTTGAATGATAAACTATGCATTATTATACTATAATGCAAGAAAAATTAATATCTATTTCCATGCATACATACTTTTAAAAAATAGAATGAATAAAAATATGCTGAACTACATTGAGCATAGAAGTACTTTTCCTGTCACCATTTGGTTTATTGACGTCATCTCTGGCGTCACATGACATGTAAGCATTCCTTTTTTATGCTGTGCATATATCGTGTGATTTGTGTGATAATACACTTAAAATCCCTATCTGTTTGATAGGCATGATAGGGGAATAGTGTACAGCGTGTTATAATAAATATCAATGCATTTTTTTTGGTCCTCATATGCATAACCTAGTTAATCATTAAGCATTGTACTTCTCTCTGACTACATGTTTCAACATTGTTTGGCTGCCTTCTTTGATAACCCTGCCAGAACTGACCCAGTGATGGTTACTGTCATACCTAGCAGAAGTATAAGTATATTCTTGCGTCCCTGAAAGAGATATAAAATCTATTAGTAGTTTTTCGTTTATTCTTCGGTCAGTGGTTTATCAGTGTAATGTATCATTCGTTTGATTGGGTTTTACATCACATCTTTACTGGTGGAGGAAGAGCTCAGGTGCCCCTCCGTGCATTAATTCAGGCACAAACAGGCACCTGAATAGAACCACCAACATTCCGTAAGCTAGCTTGATAGCTTCCTCACATGAAAGAATCTTAGTCCCTGAAGGGATTCGAACCCACAGCGGTGAGGGGCAAGTGGTTTGATGTCAACGGCCTTTACCACTCTGCCAAGGACGCCCCTGTAATGTATCAATTCTTACCATATACCTATATAGATATTTATATAGGTTGTAGTTTTGTTTTAAGACTTATACACAAACAATACTGTAGAATATTGACATGTTCATTATCTTTTGTGTGTGTTTTTTTTGTTTTTTTGCTTCTTTTGTTTTGTTTCATTATACATAGCACCAATACTGTAAAATTTGGTGATCATCCATCAATTATTTCAGTAGGAGATGATGTTCAAAGGTTTTTCTATTTTTAGCTACAGCAGTTCTAAAAGGGACCAATCAAATTAATATGAGCAAACTTGATAAAACACTTCTTTAGAATGCTACAGACAAAGTTTGGTGATCATCCATCAATTAGTCCTGTAGAAGAAGATGTCTAAAGGTTTTTCTATTTTTAGCTCTGTTGACCCCTAAAAGAGGCCAATCAAATTAAAATGAGCAAATTTGATACAAGACTACCTAAGAATGCTACAGACAAATTTTGGTGATCATCCATCATTTAATTTTGTAGTAGAAGATGTTTAAAGGTATTTATATTTTTAGCTCTGTTGACCCCTAAAAGGGGCCAAATGAAATGGCATGAGCAAATTAAAGTGTGACTGTCACAAGGATGCTACAGACCAAATTTGAGGTAATCCGTCAGTTTTAGAGAAGAAGATGATTGATGAAGCATGACGGGAGACGCCAGAGCATCCCCCTTTGATACTTATAGCTCACCCTGAACCTTCGCTTCTGGTGAGCTAAAAAGTCAAATAAAAGCTACTGATACCTGAATTTCTCTAAAGACAACAACTCCCAGTATTGAAGCAATAACACCAGGTCCTGTAGTGACGATAGGAAAGGCAACAGATTCTGATAAAACTTTGTTCGCTACAAACCACGATGACGTAGCTACTCCCCACATCAAACCAGAAACAAACCCAGGTAATATTGCACGTGGATAGACTTTAGGTTTATTTCCGCTGAAGGCAGCATAAATAAGGAAATACACTGTACTTGTTGCTAGGATACCACTGAAGGTTGCAAAAACATAATCTAATGCTGGAAAAGAAATCGCCGATTTGAGTATATTAAGAAGTAAACAGGACAAGAGATGTTAGTATAATATATACATGTATATCCCAGAATAACAACAGTTCAGGTGTTATTTATTGGAATAAGAAAATACTTTTATACAGCATTTAATTATACAAATCTAATCAAGACAAGTCTTTTTTTATTATGACCTATGAAAATGTGACCTAAAAACCCTAGCATAAACCATTTTCCACAAAAGGGCAAATCTCCTTTTATATTTAATATTTAAGATTTTTATAATTATAATTAACTCAACATTCTTTCAATTAACAACAACAAAACATAACATGTTATCTCATTATCAACTAAAATTTAATGTACATAAAAAACCATTACATATCAATGTCACTTCTTCTTCAGGCAATTGCAGTAGCATCTAATATCACATATACTGAAAAAAGTGTATGAAATTGAAGAATTAAATTGTTTTATAACAATAACAACTTACCCTCTTGACTAGCCCCGTCATAGTTATCTTGTACATATATTGCTGGTGTAAACATCTGACCATAAAAAATCCCTGACACTGCTGATAAAACAATACCTCTGAAATAAACAACAAAATCTAAAATAAACAACAAAATCTAAAATAAACAAAATCTAAAATAAACAACAAAATCTTAAATAAACAGCAAAATCTTCAATAAACAGCAGAATATCAATAGTGTCTATGATCTTAAAACATGTTCACTGACAAATAAACTGACCAAAAAGTGTTATATTTAAGCAAAATAAGTATCTGGTTTTTTTATTTAACATAGATAATAGGAAATTTCAAATTTCATCTAAATATTAATTTAATACAGTTTTTAGATTGAAGCTTAAATATCAGCATGTTAAAATTACATTTACATCCTTTTAAATTTTCTTAAATAATTTCACAAAAACTATTCCTAGTATTCATTTTGATAAAGTTAAGAGTACATGGTTAAAATTTTCAAAACATTGCCCAAACAAAGACAGTAATGGAGCTGACTAAAGTCTTTTGATCACTTCCTATTTACCAAAATAATGCAAGAGTGGGAAAACAAGGTCATCCACCATCAGTCAAGCAGTAATACTGCCTTAAAACAATAACAGTGCCTGCATGATTTGACACAGAATTTGAAATATATTGAACGTGGGTACTTACACAATCCTCTTTGTGGCAGGACTAAGCCTGTCTATAAACGTGACATCATTATCAGTACTGTCAGAGGTAACTTGATTGATGCTGTTCTGAAATATTTCAAATGTAGCGCATAAAAATATACTTGCATCTTTGCATCTGTACAAGATCAACAAGGAAAGGCGTGTTCATTGACCGCCACTCCCACACAACCCAGCAACTAGGACCAGTGACCAGGAGCCCTGGAGGACCCCAAACAAACGCAGTAATCTAAGGATTGCTGGCTGTGATGGTTCAAACCCAGTCAGGATCAAGGCATTATTTCCTTGATCAAGAAACTGCAAACTCATTGCTTAGTAATGGTTGGTTTCTGAAGTCTAGGGTTGGTCGAAAAGCTTCTAGCTTCTTACACAATAAAACTAAAATAAATAGTATATAAAGTAACTTATGAATTTTGATAAAATTTCCAGGACTTTTTTTTATTTCTTTTTTTTACATAAATATGCAATCAAAATCAAAATGGCATAGGCCAGACACTGTCTGATATTCTGGAAAAAAGGAAATTATGTGCGATATACACATGTTTCTCTTATAGTGTTCAGGGCAATCATTTAACCATTTAAGATAATATAGATAATACCTGAAAATCGATTCATTTATTGTTTAAAATTTTCACAGAAATCCTTAGGTAATCATGGCCAACATTCACATTATTTCGTTTAAAAGTAAAATTTGATCAATAACTTATGAACAATCATTCATATTAAGAGGCAATACGACATCTGAAATGTAACAAGAAAATACATACTACCCTAGGCCTATCATTATTGAATATAATGACATCATGGTCATCTGTATGGACACTGGAGTATGTTGGCCCATTGCGCCTTCCGTTCTAAAATAGATTACATAAATATAAGTTCTATTCAAGGAGCAGTCTGGATGTCTGAATAAATGTTGCTTATCAGTGTAAGAATATAAACAGGAATAAGGGTTGGCTAGTTCTTAGAACGCTCAAGAATGGTGGCTACCAACCTGACCAAAATGGTCATGTCAGCTTATAGTCAGAACAGTTTGCTATTTAGTCAGTACATATTTTGAATGTTTTCTTAAAAATGATTAAGGGTTTTGTCCAAATTTTAGATGAACAAGTCCCTATATGAAATTAAGGATTACAGACCTTAATTGTCCTGATAAGAATAAGTTTTTCATAACAAAAATAATTAGATTGAATTGGATATTTTAATTTTAATAAGCTATTAAAATAATCAGCAATGCATGTATTCTTTTTCAAAAAAGGACATAAAACTCCACATACATATTGTTTTCCAAGACATGTATTGATCAAAAATGCTCTTAAAACAATGATATTACACATGCTAGCAAATCATTATAAAACTGATCTGTAGTAAAAACTTCATTACTTTTTAAGTCATTAAAACAAAGAGACATTGGTAGATACTTTACCTCTAATAAAGGGTTTCTCTCGGAGGATATATCCACAGTGACTGTTTGATCTACTCCAGCAGTGCTCACTTCATTCTTCACCATTGCAAATATTACAGCACTATAAAAAAACCCACAAAAATGCCTCAATATTGGCATGCAACTTTAAACGTTGTACATGGCAGGTGGCTTTAAATGTTGTACATTATATTATTTTAAACAAATACAGATAAAGATAATTCCTATCAACGAAAAGGAAATGTCTGTAAGTTAGTGCACTTGACAGTGCTTGACAGTAAGAAAAGGGGCATAAATTTGTAAAAATTTAAATCAAAGTAATGAGATCAGTGTGTCCATCAGGTTAAATAATCACTGCCTTCAGTGGTTTTTCCAAAAAACCAACTTGCATGCAGAAACATTACAAAAGTTTGACATCAATGCCGAGGTGAGTACAATAGCTAGCCCTATGCTTCAAATAGTCAAGCTAAAACCAAGTTTTACTTTGTAGATTTGCAATATGAAACAACACAAAAGATGAATCTGACTTAAAATTCTAAACATAAGTTCTAAAGCATACTACAAAAGCTTTAGACATAGCAAAATGATAATTAGCATGATCTGTACCCATAAAATCTCGTGACAGCACATTAGAATAATGAATACAGTGAATAAACTATGCTTTTCATGTGCTACAAAAACCAGTCCTCACTATATATACTGTTTGTTATCATAGAAGTCTACAATATAATGAGCCACGTCATGATAAAACCAACATAGTGCGTTTTGACCAGCATGGATCCAGACCAGCCTGCGCATTCGGGCAGTCTGATCAGGATCCATGCTGTTCGTTATCAGTTTCTCTACTTGTAATAGGGTTGGTAAGCGAACAGCATGGATCCTGATCAGACTGCGCGGATGCGCAGGCTGGTCTGGATCCATGCTGGTCGCAAACCCATTATGTTGGTTTTGTTGTGACGTGGCTCATATAAAGTACAAATGTATCATCAATGTATGTGTCAGTGTACATGTAAATGAGGACAATACAATGTCTTAAAGAAAGTTATCTTATACATGCATACATATGTACAGTAAACTCCGCTTATAACGATATTCAGGGGACATACAAAACTATATCGATATATCCGAATATCGTTACAACCGAATTTCTGTACGGTGTGTAGCATACTGACGATGCACTGCATCGTTCAACATGTATAAGCAGTAGCATTATATACTAGACATGTGACAATCATGTACTTACGACAAAACTTTATTCTTTTTATGCATATCAATGTTGAATGCATAAAAAATCAGTTGCACATCAAAATTAACACAAAACTGACATAAACCGAAAGTAATATGTACACAGGTACTGGTAACCTTACATTGGCTTAAATTTATACACTGGAAATGTTTTTGTCTATGTCACTGAATACTCTAAGGCGATTCCATTTCGATGCCAATTCAACCAGCGGAATGTCATCGTCCTCGAACTCGTCTGTGTCAGACGAATCGGAAACTTGCCCCTGCGGGGTCGCATTAATTTCATGCTGTGCTTGATTCATAAATCCAGCCTTTCTAAAACAATTCTGGATACACGTCGGTGTTACATCTTTCCATGCCGCATAAAACCATTGTATGGCTTTTAAAATGTTAATCTGTTTATCGATATGTGTGTCTAGACATGAAATAATATGGTCAAGGACACGTGACCTGTAATGCCTTTTGAATGAAAAGATAATCCCTTGATCACAGGGCTGTAACGTAGATGTAGTGTTAGGTGGGAAAAACAACAGTTTTACAGCTTTTAATCCCTCGATTTTCGGATGGGCCGGGCAATTATCAACAAACAATAGAATAGATCTTTTCTCACGTGTCATACGTTTGTCAAGTTTTTTCACCCAACTGATAAATATTGAATGACAGACTATTCTCTCCCTTACCAGTTCCTCTCCCTGACGGTTCTCTCCCTAACCGTTTCCTCCCCTGACGGTTCTCTCCCAAATTTGAAATATGCAGACAGTTCTCCCCCAATTTTATTTTTATAAGTTATCATTTTAGTTTTGACTTAATCTAATAATATTTCTTAATGAAGATTATTAAAAGAATGTGTTTGATATTAACTGCATTTTATGTTTTATGTTTATCAGCTGAAAAGTGTTTGTAAATTTAACACCTTTTTTCAGTATTTTAATCCTATCAACACCTTTATTGTGAGAGATATAGATCATTGGACAGTGATTGATATACACCTGTAATTATGTTAAGGTCTAGCTTGTGATGTTCATTTATTTGTTAAATAGTGAATAAGGTGGAAACAAGTATGTTCTAGAAAATAAATAAACAACAACTGGTATGCAAACACATTCCACATTTACTTTTTTACGAAATTGATTTAAAAACATGTAGTCATTAACTTGAAACAATATATAATACCAAATAACTTATATACAATACAATACAATACAGTTTATTTGCTTAAACCTACCCATTTATTTAACATCTAAACACTTCAATAAAATCTATTTTTTTCTAATTTATATCAATTCATAATAAACTTACCCATTTATTTATCATCTAAATACTTTAATAATAATGTAATTATAAAAATAAGAATGGGGAGGAACTGTCTTCTAATTTGCAAATATGCAGACAGTTCTCCCCCAAAATAGGGAGAGAACCGTCAGGGAGGAAACGTCAGGGGAGGAACTGGTAAGGGAGAGAATAGTCTGACTACCATAAATATTTCTGAGTTCATCCAAGCACGACGATTAGCTTCGTAATCTACCGGCAAACTTTTAACATTTTTAAAACATCTAGGATTTTTGAATTTTCCGATTATCAAAAGTTTAAGTTTATCAGAACCGTCCATACAATACAATGTCTTAAAGAAAGTTATCTTATACATGCATAGATATGTATATGTATTTATACTAGTCACAAATCTTTATGTATGCATTTAAAGCAATTAACATAAAGCTAAATTCCTTTATTCAGAGAAAGAATTTGAACATCTGCTAAGTCACAGTAAGCCTGCTTCTTTAAATACATAGTTAACAAAAGAGAAGTTCATATATTTTATCATAAAACATAAATTGTAATGTATAATTATAAAAGGTAAAGAGAAGAAGAAAACAATTAGTTAGAAGGACAAATAAATGACTAATACAGATGACAAGGAGGTTGAAATATTGCAAGTACATCTCACCTAGACACAGCAAGTATAACTCCTATATCATTTAGAACTTTGTTGTCTGGAGGGTCAGCATGTAAACCAAACATACCAAACCTGTAAAATCAATGATTCATAAATGGTAATTATTATCGGACACCAGTAATTTATCAGACACCAATAATTTATCGGACGCCTACATGTAGACATCATCAATAACATAAAGTATATTTTTACTCCCCTCTTGTCACTAAGGAGAGCTTTTTGGATAAACAACAAGGTTGATATTATGACAACTTTCCAGTCCTTATGTTAAATTCAACTCCCCTCTTGTCAAATAGGAGAGCTTTTTAGATAAACAACAAGGTCAATATTACTACAACTTTCCAGTCCTTATGTTAAAAGAACATGTCAGAAGGTTGTACATGCTTATTTAAGACACAATACCATAGGTACTCAACTATGCATTCTCCTAGGCACAGTTTGGAACCTAAATAGATCTGCTATAATTTTATAAGCTTTGCAGGTTCATGTCTTATTTTTAGACAGTTGCCTTTCTTTGTAAAGCTATTATATTTGAATCTGACATAATTTGTGTCCTTTAAAACTAACAAGAAGATGGTATGACAGAGTAGTTAACAAGTTAGACAAGTAATTTAAGCAAAGCTGCCTGTGTGGGGTCAAGTTATGTTTTCTTTCAGCAAGAAACTTTACACTCATTGCTCTATACTGGTTGGTTCAAGAAACACATTCGAGAGTATGTCTATAAGCATATAGCTTCCTACACTATCAAACTGAAATATATTCTGTATAAACTAACAAAATAAAACATACTTTAACAGGGCTACAGATAACATTTTGTGTATATTGGGTAATTACCCCTTATTTTGTGATCTATTGGGTTTTTTCTATTTTCTTTGAGTTATTTCTGTATTTTTTACCCTACCCCCTCTAACCAATTTGGGTTATAAAGTACAAGTTCATGCATTTTACCCAAAATTTTTGATCATCATTGTAGACATTTGTAGGTTTTGTGCGGTAATAAAAAAAGCTACTTACTACTTTGCTTTATGGTTTATTGGCCTAGGAGATTTCCAAGTTGCCTTATATAATTTAAAGGTTAAAACAGTCTGAAACAGTATGATCTGCCTGATGTACGTGTTAAGTAATAATTTTTGTCATTACGCACCAGTTCAAATGTAGTTTGTATAAATAAGAATTCATTTACTTTTTCTTACCCTTAGTTATTATTTCTATTGGGTTTTTAGACATTTTAATTGGGTAATAACGCAAATACGCATGTTATCTGCAGCCCTGCTTTAAGTTGATAACATTAAATTTTTTATGGGAAAAACTTTTCATACAACATGCAAAGAGACAAGGAAAAACCAGTATTTGCAAAAAATCTTCTTTCAACCTACTGCTTTATTCAAACAAACTTTGTCTAAATAACTATTACTTCACTCTTTATCATTTTTAAGGGAACTTATCTATACTTCTGGAAATGAAAAAGAAAATATATGTTTAAATTCTGATGCTATCTCCAGGCATTATTAATTCCTTTTTGAGTTATATTTTTCAGTGCAGAGTAAATTAAGTTATACATCAAAATATGTTGTTTTGGTTTAGTTATTTTTTTTTTCAATTTTGAACAAGCAATACTGACTTTATGTATTCAGTTCAAATTCATACTAAATTCATATAATAAGTTAATTTCCTGTGAATGACTTGAACATAACAGGAAATAAATAAAAAAGTGAGTTATGTCAAGCACTAGCCTTGTTTTCATTTGTATATGATTAGGTACAATATACTGAATTTCCTTCCTTTATTAAAGTGGCATTCCAGCAGATGAACAAATTCTTTAAAAAATTCAAACTTCAAATAGAAATATTTATAGTTTAAGGAAACTATAAACATTTGAATTTAAAACTTTGAATGTACACTATCTAAATACTACAGAATTAACTACTTTATAACCAAACTTCTAACCCATTAATACGAGAGTGAAAGTAAAGGTCTGTATTATAATGTTGACAAGTTAAGAGTTAAATCACTTTAATTTCACATTTCACAATATCTTTTACTCATTATGACAATTTTTTTTAATTTTTCATACAAATTAACATATGATTAGGATCCATGCTGTTCGCTATCAGTTTCTGTACTTGTAATAGGGTTTGTAAGCGAACAGCATGGATCCTGATGACTGTGCGGATGTGCAGGCTGGTCTGGACCCATGCTGGTCTCAAACCCACTAATATTTGTTAGTTTTGTCATGGCACGGCTCAATTATATCTACAGGCATGCTGCTTTAAATTTGATGCAAAGAGTGCACCTTAAGACTGTTTTGAGAGTATTGTTATGCCTAGTGTTTTATTCCCTACCTGACCGTTTAGTCATTCCCGACCTTCAATGAAAACAGGCAAAAATTGTGTTTTGTATTTCCCTATAAGTCTTTGTTTTTGTGTTATTTTTAATCTTTGACTTTTCATAAAATGAAACAATTACTAACTAGTGAGCGTGATATTCATCGGCAGAAGATCATATTAACCCAGGTGAATTAGCCATCTGCTGCTGAATATCATATCATATACAATGGCTTTCTAGTCAATACTAGTAATTGTATAACATTATTATTATTAATCAAGATACACACAAAACTAATTTGAATAGTCTGCATCCATTTAACCATATCACTGTAGCCGCATTACCAAATATAAGTGTAAACAATATGTATTTCCAAAATGTTCAAACATAGATATATACATTACAATCAAAGACATTGTTTAACAAAAATCATGAAAGACTGAAGATATGAATTAAAAGGTAAATAATGCAACTGACTTTGTGAATTAATTAAATTCAAAAGAAGATTTGAAAACAAGTCCAAGACTTATATAAATTCATTTCCTTAGTGGGTTGGAACGGATGATGGCTGACTCATCAATATAATGTGTAATGTTTTGAGATATGAATTTACAATAAAAGTGATAAAAGAGTACCAGAGTGGAACTGAGTTGTTTGAGATAAGACAGTTAACTTAGTATAATGTATAAATCATGCTTATAAAGTCGCTCTGTAACATGCGCAAGCACTATGATGTGAAATGTTTAGTGGTGACAATGTATTTTTGGACGCACCTATATTAACAAAATTAAATCCTACAATATAAACATAGTAGAAAACCTTACCTCCCTGTCGCCCAACCACTGAGCAGATTTGTCATTCCCCAGATACATAAACCCAGGCCTAAACCAATCGTTTTTATAATTGGCACAACACAGATATTTCCTGCAAATAAATAAAAACAGCAAGTAATCCTATTATATCTAACACAGAAAATATACATATTCTCTTTTAAGACAATTTAAACATATTTAGTACTCCTTACATAGTACATTTAGACTAGTAGTAATATTGTCCTTTTTCTTTACATTTATTCTACACATGAGACTTTCCGCATGGTTGTTGAATAACATTATAAAATATCGTTTCTTTTACCATTTATTATTTCAAACAGTAATGAAGCATTTTCAAAGTTTTCATTATTTTGACACAAATTCATAGAGCATGGCATTTAAATATTTCTATAACAAGATACATGTATAACGTTGCACAGAGTCATTATTCTTGCATATCAGACTGGTGTTTTCTTTAGTTTTACCCATGCCAGAAATTTCATCTGACATGGGGGTGTGCATGATAAGTCTCATGCTATACACATAGCATATTTAAGAATGAAGCTTAGGATGACGTAATACGGCCGTTATGAATGACGCTGTTATAAGAAAATAGTTATGGGTGTAATGTCATAAATTTCCATGGAAAATTGTTTTATTGAGGTGAAGAATTTAAAATATCCTGGAATATGGTAGAGTATGCAAGAAAAAAACATCTGACATATGTGTGTATTCAGATCGGAATATCTATCCCATTGGGCGGGTCCCCTCTGGACAGATATTTTCCAGTCCGAACCCACAACATATGGCAGTTATTATTCATATGTATCTCATATTCATATGTATCTCATATACACAATACCTGTTTCCCATAGCAGTCCTCCAAGCATTGCCAGGGGGTAAAATTTTGGGCTTTTTCTAATCATCTGTACAACTAAACCACTGCACCATATTGCCATACACAATATCCACTGGAAAAACATGCCTGAAAAAATATATGTAACCATTGTATTTAGGAAAAAGATATCAGTTTCTAGCGCATTGTTGTGGAATCATGCATGGTGCATGAATATAATCATTAAGGTCAATATCACAAAAGTCTTTAGGCCTGAGTGATTATCTTCAAAGCATTTCAATGATTAACCATGCAATCATTATAGTTTTTTTACTATAATGCCAGAATAATTTATGTACTTTCATTCTAACATGTTAATAAAATAGAAAATTTATAAAGTATGTTGAACTACATTGAGTACTGATTGGACAGATTATTTTAAGGTCTGATGCATAGATAACCCCAACACTTAATAAATATAATTGTTATAACTTTGTTTTTCAACAAACATCCCGGGTGTAGATTTTCCAGGGTAAGCCTGGAAGAGAGGCTGGTAAACCCTGGAAAACTATGGAAAAGCATGGAATTTCATGGAAATTCATGGAAAATTGGTATTTTTTCCATGCAATGTGGACTTTTTTTGTCCAGCCATTTCCAGCATGGCTGGAATAGGCTGGAAATTGGCTGGACATTTGTGGTAAAAGCCTGGAAAACCATGGACTTTACTTCCATGTAGCATGGAAAGTGGAACTTAGATTTTTTTGATGCTGGAAATGTGTTAAACTTTCTCTAAGTATGCTGGAAAAAACTTGTAAAAATTACAACAAGAAATCTTACTTTATATATTCAGCACAATTTTGTAAATTTACGAAGAAAATATACAATCATCATTTATCTTAATGCAAGTTACTGTAAATGATTTGAAATTTGACACTTTATACTTTTTATGTAGTTGACAAAGGGTATCTCAGAAAAAATGTCTATGCTAAAGACATAAATGAATTGATTGTTCAAAATACATATTATTATTTAAATAAATCTACATGAAGTTATGTACAATGAAATAATTATATCCATTTAATTACAGGCTTTAAGTTTAACTATAAATTAATTAAAGTCTGTGATTAAATCATTCAGACACTATAATAATCAAGATGGGATTGCATTGCTTGCCATTTTTAAATTGTAAGAATTCATGTTTTTGGATAACAATAAATAAATAAATAAACAAAACAAAACAGTGCATGAAAGAATCTCATTATATTCTATATTAAATTGACCAATATTTAGGAAAATAAATACTACATCCACTGAGATTTTACACTACACAGATCAGAGCTCTGATAAAACTCATTGACCATCTGTGCATGACTAATTTACTCCACTGGTCATTTCAGATCAGGCTGTTCCATGTGATTATTTTGGGGAGAGATAACATTATAAATTTCATATGCAGAATGTGTCTAGAAGGACATTGCATTTTTTTGTACAAATATTTGTAATGATCTTTAAAATCTATATATCTATTAGCTATTTGATATTTTCTTTTACGCTCAAAGAATAAAAGTTAAAATGATGAGTAGATTAACCCTGCTTTACATAATGATAGACCTGTCCAGTAACTGTTGTAAATTTTGAATTCTAAGATATCTGGGTCAGCAAAGAGTGCAAATTACAGAGGATGCACTTGATATTTTAGCAGTTTTGGAGATATTGTTTTGTTTAAGACTTTAAAGTGTTTAAGTATTGGTATGATAACAATTAGAATCACCTGGGACAAAGAGATATACAACAGAATCAGGTATTTATAAACCTTAAGTTACATCAATGCAGAAACAGGTTATATATCAAACTATCAACATTTGTAACAAGAGATCAAGGTTGTTTTTATATTTTCAACTTCATGCATTTGTTTTTCTGATAATTGTTTTTAATCTATACATGTATAATCTGTAAAATATAAATTATTCAATGATTTCTTTATAATGTATATTGTTAAAATGACAATTGTTAGAAGATCTTTTTCATTTCCTACAAATAAAACAACTTAAATCAATTTGATTAAATAGGACTAAAATTTTTGGTACAATCAGTAGTTTTGTACAGCTGAACAGGGTCATCATAATTATTTGTTATTTACATGTATGTGTTGTGTTTTCAATGGAACAATCTAAAATTACATTTTACATTATATAATTACATAACTTGCAGGCTGGGACACAAGTGCTGAGTGTGAATATTACCAACAGTTTTTAATAATGATGAGCAGTATTAATCCTGAAAAGGTATATTTTTAAATCTCAATACGTGTACTTTTTTATTCCATGTCTTTTCTTGAAAAAATACATACTGGGTGATAAATATTGTCACAAATTTACTTAAACAGAGAAATTCTTAAACACTTGTGCACTTTGAAATAAGATATACTGCATTGCTTTAGTATTTTTGAATATGCATAAGCATAGTTAATATTTAATAGTTAATACTGTTGAAACATTAGATTTGATGTTATTAAAAGATACGAAATATAACTGCATAATATTTATATGCAATAAAACATAAGTCTGTGTTAAATTTATTATGAATTTTATCTTTAAAGGTGAGCACAACAACAAGAAGTTCTAGGAAACACAGGCAGAGGACTGAAAATGGACATCAATAAAAGAAATAGTAATTTAAATAATCAGAAACACTTGAAACAAATTTAAGATTAAAACAGTTTCTCATTGACAGATTAAGAGCAAAATAATTGCTAAAATTTATAAGACAACCAGAACCTACCAAACCTGCAGCTGGAAAAAAAACTGTTTGTGCTATAGTGAATGTAGGATGTTCTATTCTGTATTTGGACTAAAGGATATGTATTAAATTTTGCGAAAGAAATATGTGATCATGTTAAACTAATAAAAATTCCACCCCAAACATTTCTGTGCTGAATTCCGTCAGAGAATTTTACATTTTAAGAACATTCAGGGATGCTGGAATTAGGCTGGATTTTTTTCCATGTTATTCCATCAAGGCTGGACTATTTACCATGGTAAAAAGTCCAGCCTCTATGGTTGGCAGACACATGGAATACCCTGGAAAAAAATCCTTACTTTTGTTCCAATACTCCATGTACATGGAAAAGCATGGAATAAAGTCCATGCTTTTCCATGGAAAACATGGAAAATATTCCATGCAGCATGGAAAATGTTCCATGTTTTTTCCCTGTTTTTCCAGCCCATTTTTTCTCAGCTTCAGGCTGGAAAAGGCTGGAAAATTTTGTTCCAATACTCCAGCCTCTTATTTTCCATGGAAATCCCTGAAAAAGCATGGACTTTTTACACCCGGGAAGCAAATGGTCACCTAGTAGTATAGGGCCAGGACAGAATGTGTTGATTTTTTATTATTTGGTAAACTTCTTAATGTTTTTCAAATAACCTAAACTTTTCGAAGGCAAAAACTGCTTCAAAATTTTATTTTTCCTAAGTTAGAATGAGGCAGTTAGAAATGTATTGACCACACCAGGCCACTGACTAGGGAAAGATTTTTGAAAAATTGTTTTTATATCAACAAAAAATAGATAAATATATAAGATGTTAAAATCAATTATTGGTGCTGATTTTCCTGTCATTTTTTACTTAAAAGTTTACGGTAAGTGCTGACTTTATCTACTGTTGTGGTGAGAAAAGACCATGTTTTGTAATTATATCATTCAGGTCCTCAAAGAAGTACCAGTTTCCATTTTAATACATATTTTTTGTAGTTTAATGTAAAGTCTTTGAACTGAACTTTGTTTAGGTGGTTCACTTTTTAAAATATACAGGAAGATAATTAAGATATTGCAAAAAATATGTGATTTAGTGTCGGAGTTATCTCTCCAACCATTATAGAAGTGATTTTCCTGAAATCTTTTGGCTAACTGACATCATATGTGACATCATAAATTATGACTTGTAAGCATTCCTTTTTTATGCTGGGCATATATCCTATAGTAAAGCACCATTTGTTCATTAGCAAAAAAAATAACCCATTTCTTTCTTACAAGTATTTTGGATAAATTTATTCTTTTTAGAATTTGATTTAATAAAATCTACAGAGAGCTGTATACGTACACTTAAAACTGAAATTTTAAACAAAATTTTGAATATTAAAAAAAAAGAAGTTAAAGGGCAACTCAATGCAATTCTAAACAGATGTGTATGCGTAAAGAATTTTCAAGATGGGAAAGGAACCATGCATTAAACTTTTATATTATATTTTGATATATTAGGAATAAAGACAAATCTGTCATATTGCTGAGTAACAAAATTACTTTCCGTTTTCAAAAACACTTACCATCTCCAGTGTCAAATTTCTTCACAGGGGCAAAGTTTGTACCATAGAAGAATATGGCAATAGCTGCGGTAATAAACCCCCAGTAAAATGGTATGTCACTATGCTGACATGCTGCAGTTGTTATGTCATGTGATATGGTTGTTGCATTTGTGATGTCAGAAGTTGCCATGGAGATCACCGACAATGATGTCATGTTGACAAGTTCCAAGTTTATCACTGTTGTTATTTTGCTACCAACAAACTAGATGTCTTTAGATAGATCTCCAAGTTGCTGCCATCAACAACTTGTTCATTAACCTGCCAAGTACACAAAATAAATAAATAATAACTGATGCTAATATCAAAACTAATAAAAAACTATAATTTCTAATTAATATAATTAATTAAGTGCATGTACCTGAAATTAAAACAATTTTTGTAAAGTATCAAACATATCATTGTTAAAATTAAAAGTTACATAATTATGTACAGGGAGATTCTGAGGCAACTAATACAATTGCTTCTAAAGACTCCATCTTTCAAATTTTAGTTTATTAGCTGTTTGATATTTGCATCTGTGAAAAATAATATTACCAAAGACTGCATTGGACACAAAGGTTTTGTTTAATTTACAAATTTCGCAAAATTATATTTCAACAAGAATTTGTAACAGAGTTACCAACGTCTCCCGCCCCGGGAGTTTTCTTTGAAGCATAAAATTGTGCTATTTCAAAAGATTGAGGTATGGATCTCAGGACATTCTGTCCAAAATTATGATCAATGCTAGATCTGCAAATGTAACAATAAATTTGTTAAAGAAATAAAATGAAACATGGAATTTAAAAATTTATCATGTTAAGCTTTGACCTCTAAGTGTGACCTTAACCTTGGAGGTAGGGGAGCAGGTGTTGTGCATGACATATGATAATGTCTTATTATTGAGACTATTTGTGCCAAGTATTTACAAAATCCCTTGAACTATGAAGAAGTTATAGATTGGACACAAAATATACCCTATAACAGACTATGTAAATCTTTGACCTCTAAGTGTGACCTTGACCTTGGAGGTAGGGACACAGATGTTACGCATGACATATCATCTAATCATTGTGACTATTTGTGCAAAGTATTTTCAAAATCCCTTAATCTATGAAGAAGTAATGGATGGGACAAAAAATATACCAAATAACAGACTCTGTTAACCTTTGACCTCTAAGTGTGGCCTTGACCTTAAGAGGCAGGGGTGCAGGTGTTGTACCTGACATATCGGCTTATTATTGTGACTATTTGTGCCAAGTTATTCCAAAATCCCTTGAACTTATAATGAAGAAGTTCTAGATTCGACACAAAATATATCCTATAACAGACTATGTTAATTTTTTACCTCTAAGTGTGACCTTGACCCTGAAGGTAGGGATGCAGGTGTTGCGCATGACACATCCTCTTACTATAGTGACTATTTGTGCGAAGTAATTTCAAAATCCTTTGATCTATGAAAAAGTTATAGACCTGACACAAAATATACCCTGTAACAGACTATGTAAGTATTTGACCTCCAAGTGTGACCTTGACCTTGGAGGTAGGTGACCGGTTTTTGCGCATGACACATCATCTGATTATTGTGAACAATTATGGCAAGTATTTACAAAAGTCCTTCATAGATAAGAAAGTTATGGACCGGACACGACATATACCCTCAAATAGACAATGTTGACCTTGAATGAGCAAGTACGACCTTGACCCTGAAGGTACGGGTCTGGTTTTTGCTCATGACACATCGTCTTATTATAACAAACATTTGTGCCAAGTTATCTCAAATTCCTTTGATAAATGACAAAGTTATGGACGGGACACGAAATATACCCTGTAACAGACTATGTTAATATTTGACCTCCAAGTGTGACCTTGACCTTGAAGGTAGGTGACTGGTTTTTGCGCATGACACATCGTCTGATTATTGTGAACAATTATAGCAATTATTTACAAAATCCCTTCATAGAAAAGAAAGTTATGGACTGGACACGACGTATACCCTCAAATAGACAATGTTAACCTTGAATGAGCAAGAACAACCTTGACCCTGAAGGTACGGGTCTGGTTGTTGCGCAGGACACATCCTCTTATTATAACAAACATTTGTGCCAAGTAATTTCAAATTCCTTTGATAAATGACAAAGTTATTGACCGGACACGAAATATACCCTGTAACAGACTATGTTAATATTTGACCTCCAAGTGTGACCTTGACCTTGAAGGTAGGTGACTGGTTTTTGCGCATGACACATCATCTGATTATTGTGAACAATTATGGCAAGTATTTACAAAATCCCTTCATAGATAAGAAAGTTATGGACCGGACACGACATATACCCTCAAATAGGCAATGTTGACCTTGAATGAGCAAGTGTGACCTTGACCCTGGAGGTAGGGGTCTGGTTGTTGCGCATGACACATCCTCTTATTATAACAAACATTTGTGCCAAGTAATTTCAAATTCCTTTGATAAATGACAAAGTTATGGACCGGACACGAAATATACCCTGTAACAGACTATGTTAATATTTGACCTCCAAGTGTGACCTTGACCTTGAAGGTAGGTGACTGGTTTTTGCGCATGACACATCATCTGATTATTGTGAACAATTATGGCAAGTATTTACAAAATCCCTTCATAGATAAGAAAGTTATGGACCGGACACGACATATACCCTCAAATAGGCAATGTTGACCTTGAATGAGCAAGTGTGACCTTGACCCTGGAGGTAAGGGTCTGGTTGTTGCGCATGACACATCGTCTTATTATAATAAACATTTGTGCCAAGTTATTTCAAATTCCTTTCATTTATGACAAAGTTATGGACCGGACACGAAAGTGTGACGGATGGACGGACGGACGGAACCTATTTCTATATCCCCCTTTTTTCTTCAAAAAGGCGGGGGACAACAAGAGCTGTATGAGAATCAGCATGCTCCTCTTTTCTTAGTGTCAATAATACATGTAGTATGACAAAAGCAAAGAAAACTAGGGGGCATAATTCTGCAAATCAGCTTGGCAGAATTATATGCACTTGATAGTAAAGAAAGCCATTAATTTTGATTATTTATAATGTTTGTGCGAAGATAAGGAAAAAAATAAAATATGTACAAGGGTCAGATTACTAAGGAAATATGTCTTTCAATATTATCTGCACATTAAAAATCTGTGTCAATTTTAAGAAGTTTTAAGTGAATATTATATTAACATATATTTTTCTTTTTTTCTGTAGCTTTAGTAACATTAACAAAAATGGTTAACCAGGACAAAAATCAAAAGGGGCATTAATAGTGTACAACTCTCAGAAAAATATTTCCATCCCTTCATGTAAATAAATTTAAGTAGAGTCCCTTTAAATTTATCTCAGGTAATTTTGTTGTAATTGCAAAACAAATTTAAATATCATTATCATCATCATGCAGTATAAATTAAATATCTTTGTTAATTAATTACATCATTATTGTAAACCTCATCAATTATTGAATATTTATATTTAATTATATAAGAGCAAAAAGTTAACAAAAAAATATTATAGGTACGGTAATTAATTTTATAAAAATCAACATTGACATTATACCTGGGATAAAACAACACTACAAAGATTCTAGATCAGTGTAAGAAATATTTTTTTAAAGTTTATAATTATACCATTGTACATATAAGATTGAGATGGATCACATTTTCTTAGAAGGCATTATTATATTAATTAATGTTGTTTTTGCATATTAATGTTGCTTTTGCTATTATTATCCTATCTTAACACGGGTGAAGCCATTTCATTTCACATTACAGTCATCTTGATATCCCTATATTGATAATGAGCAGTTCCAAAAATGGAAACTGGAATAGTCCATTTAAGAAATTTAGCAGATTCAAGGCCAGTAATGCCTCAGAAATGCTATCATTGTTCAATTTCTAAAAGATTTTTTATTTTTGGTATTCTTGTTAATACAGTTTCCAAAAATTAATCATTTGTCATAAAAGTGAACTAACTTTTGCTTTTTTATTTTGTTCAGCAATTGGTATAATAATAGTGAATTAGTATTTTGTATGGAAGTCAAAATACTACTTTGTTTACTTGTTTTGCTACCTTTTCAACACAGAACTCAATGTTTTACTTTCTTCAGTTGCTATTCATCTAAAATGCTATAAACCCAATATTAAAACATTTATTTAACACATGTTTGACATTTCTAATGAATAAAAAAATGGATTTCTTAAGCATAATGTGCCTTATAATGATTTTTTCTATTTAAAAAGTCTCATTTATTGATTGACACATGCATCAATTAATTACTAGATAATGAACATTAAAACAATAATTATAAACATGCACTTTCAAACATACCTACAACTTGCTTAATCAGTCTTGCTTTTATCTCCACTATAATCTGTGGCCTATATATATTCTTGGATGCAATCATATGACATCATAATCTATTAAACATGTGATAAAAATGAGTTATACTCACTCTCATACTTTGAGCATCTAGTCATCCAAAACATATTACACTCATACCCTGTACTTGAACTTTCAACTTTCATCACTACCATTCATTCAAACAATAATTACAATTATTAGTCTTAATTTTAATGGTAATTATGCATTTTAATTAAGTACACCCCAAAGTAATTAATTAAAGTGCTTTAACTTTTTTTATTTAAACATAATTAGTTATATGTCTGATTTGAATTAACCATTTCATTATTCATTGCACAAACTTTGGTGGCATTTTGGTGGAAATATATTTGTGTAAAAGATTTTTTGATTTTTTTTTACTGCATTAAATTTTGATTAATAATTTTATAATTTCTGAAAAAGTTGTCAAAAGACAGCAGTTTATAGAGATGCAACAATATGGTGAGTATACCAGTATATTTTGATGCAGCATCACACAATATGCACCACAGTGCAGAACTCTAGAACTGCAATTTTAATTTCCTTCCATATTTTTCTTTGTCTTATCAAAATATACAATACATTTACAAAGACATGTACATGTATTTCAATTTTTTAAAGCCTTGAAAATGGGAAAAACATTTATGTTAGTTGCTGTAGCATATTGCTAGTATCTAGAACAGTCCATACTCAGTCTGTAATGAAGTTTCTTTGTTTTTAATTTTACCAAGGCATTAGTTTAAGATGCTCAGGTCTCAAGTAATATTCTTTGATGTAGCTGCGCTAAAAAGAACTGTCAGAGCCAATAAAATGTTACACGCAATTATTACTTTAAAAAGTAAATTGTAAATTTAGTCACATTATTTGTGTTTACATTGTA